GGCACACCACCCAAGCAGTCTGAGCGATTTCGCCACACAGATGCTGCATGTGGATAGAGGGGAGCAGTTATCGCGAGTTCTTCCTTGGTCCACAGTGGCATGTAGAATACATCTGGAGTGGGGGCCAGCTTCTTAAATTCTCCAATGCAATCCCGCCGCGGTGTGCTTGCGAGAAGAATGGAGCATATGCGATAGGGAAGTCCAGCAATACTCGTTGGATCCAACGAATCCACAAGGCACCACAAATCACTCGACCAGAACTGTCGGTTGGACTTGTCGGGCAGTACCTTGCACGTGAGCATATTCGTTCCATCAAAGTAGAAATTCCCCTCGCTGTCGAAAAACAGCACGCGTTTCTTCTCCTTGATCAACCTCCACATCATGTAGTAGACGAACACCGACTTGCCTATCCCAGGCGTGCCCGTGACGACAGCATACTTGACCATGGTCCGATCTGGATTCAGCAGTGCTTGGTCGGCGATCACTCTGTACGACGAGCGAATGTAGAGCTTCTGACGTTTTGTTAACGGCAGCAACGACGAAAATTCGAGCCAATCGCCTACTTGCTCAACCGTGGGGAATTGTGCGAAGAACGGATCACTGCAGGGATCAAAGACACCATCTTGGGAGACAATTGAAGCCGAGATCGCTTGCTTTGGCTTTGGAACAACCACCAGCACGTGCACCACGTTCTTTCCAAGCGAAGCGCCAGTCCCAAACAGTTCCTCCAAATTCCGCGACGCGCGCAACTTCTCCATCTTCGAGGTGTCAACATTGTTCTGCAGCATCCTGTCCAGGTCATCGTCGTCTGGGAGCCATCCGCCGTCTGCCTTCTTCGCCAGGAAGAGCTGCAGGTCACCTGCATCGATGTCCTTCAACTTGTTTGGCTTCTTCGCCTTGATCGCGTCCTTCAAGTGGCCCACGGACTTTTTCTCGTCAATGTCCACAGGGAACGCGCTTCCCGCCGCACCAACGATCGCACAGAAGAGCGTCACCATCTTCCCTCGAGGCGGCGGATTCTGGAATGAAGAAGAAAGGGAGAGAACTCACAATCGTACCTAAGCGGAAATGACAATGTGATGACGGCGTGTCACTATGGCGAGGTGGGCATGATTCTTTCGAATGAAAACCCTTGTTGTTGTTGCTGCGTGCGGTGACTCCTCCTTCGCACCTGGTGCTACTTAGCGGTGGTGTAGCTGGTGGTCAGGAAGGTGCGGAGCAGTGCTCGTTGGTAAATACATAACGATCAGAAAAAAAGCTGAACGATTGATGTGCCCGACTCGACTACTTACGTTGACCTTGGGCCTTTTTGTTCGGCCGAACCACGCGTCCGACAGTTAACTGCCGCCGGTCTCCAGAGCATTAGACGCGCAATGCTCATCTCAGGAAGTATACGTCAAACTTGTCCTTAACCACTCAAAGTCTTGATTCATGCGATACACTCCACTGTAGCGGTCCTGCAGACACGAGCTCACACACTCCAGCTTCTTCTCCAACGCAGTGATCATATCTTGGGACACTTTTGCAGTGATTTCATCCTTTCTAGCGCTGTTCTCGACCAAAAACCTCTCAATTTCCTTCTTATGTCGCACCAGAGCCGACACGCTCGTTTCCATGTGATGCTCAGCCTGGTTGCGGATCGTCTCGGCATGGCGAATCCTTCTGTGCACATCGCGCTTTATCGCCTTAATCCGCATGTTATATGTAGTACATTTTCTTCTTGATCATTGTGGCCTCCGCTATTTGTTTGTTGCGCGCAGACAGCTCCACGGTATCCAGGAAACTCAAACGGGGAAGTTGGCACATCAAATACGTTTGGTAATTACACAGCCTACACACGGGATTGTCACCAAAGTGAGGGTCGCTCAACACGAGAACAGCAAGTTGGTCCAAGTTCATGAGGGACAACAGTCCTTTAAAGCTCGACAGCCGGTTGTCCGCCAAGTTCAGTTCCGTGAGATTCACGCAGCCATTGAGCGCCGTGTCAATGCGGTCAATACGGTTACGACACGCCCAGAGCTGCGTCAACTTCGTGAGTCTCCAGAGTCCGTCAAGCCTTTCCAATTGGTTCAGGTTCACCCACAACTTCTCCAACTTCACCAGCGCGTCCAAGTTTTCAAGTCGTCGGATCTTGTTCGAGCTCAGATTTAGCTGTTTCAGCTTGGTACAGTTCCCCAGGTTAGCGATCTTTGTGAGCCCACACTCGGTAATGCACAATTTCTCCAGGTTGATGCAGTTGCTGACGCCATCGAGTTCGCAGATCGTCGGCTGGTTGATGACCGAGAGCTCCCTCAGCGCTGGGAAGTACGCGACGCTCCTCATGGACGTCCAAAAGCCCAGAAACAAGTCCAAACTCGTCACTGCCTCGCTATTCCGCGCAAATTGAGCGGCTGTGATACCGTTCTCCCTGCAGAGCAATTCGAGGTCGGGAGACGTCGCGAAGACCTGCATCTTCTCCTGCTGGGAGACGGACAGCGCGTCTCCATTGCCAGTTGGCTCTATCACAGTCTCCGTCTGCACTGCGTCGCTTCGGGCAATAATTCGTCTTCAACACTCGCTGGCGGACTGCTTGGCCTTGAAGAGTTCATGCTGCCACCTCGAAGGCACTGCTTGCTGGGAGGTCGGTGGGATTTGGCTGAAGGGAGACGCGCTGGAGGAGCAGCAGAGATAGGCGGCAGAGCACTCGAGTCAGCAGAGGAGGGGCTCGAAGTGCCTCGTCCTGTCTCCATCCTTTTATTCCTACCAGAGCTATCCTATTCCTCCAAGAGTCTGGACCTTGACCTTGAGGCGATTACAATAACGTGCACTGCGTCGTTTCGTCCTATTTTTGTCCCCAACTTCAAGGTAGCAGCAGCCGTGTTTTCAAAGTTCTTTTGCAGCTGAACTTGGAGCTAAATTTTGGCCAATCAAAAAGTTCTGGGCTCGTGTGTTAAATAGGTTAAGTGAAAGGAGCCCTTCAAAACTGTGAGAGCCCTCGTTAAGAGCCCCCCCCCTACAGGTTAACTAGGGCTCCGCGAAGGCTGGGATAGGAGGCTTTTGGGATAACTCCTTTATTACTTTTTTTTACGATCCACAGTCATCTCCTGCGCCTGCTTCACAGCCGCAGCATCTGCCCGGTCATTCACCTCAACGGCGAAGATGCAAGATACGACTAGGCAGTAATTATACACAGTAATGAAACGAACCTCGCTCGAGATCTAGCTCGTAGAGAAATATGCTACAGTCCTGTAGTAGTCCGTTCAATTCAATCATTCACCTTACATCACTCCATCCGGTTCAGTATATGCTACTGACCCATACCGTTTCAAACTGTCCACGCATATAAACCTTTTGGAGGGCCCAGTGCGGCACCGGGGTCATACCGGTTTCTGGAAATGTGCCAGTTGGGTGTCAATATTTTGACTTGACGTACCACGATATAATCCTATTTGGTCTGCGATAGCAGCACTAACGTTGCTTCCTATCCCAGTAATATATCTTACTACCGATTGGCTGTAGTGTGCGGTCTTCAGGTCCAAACTTCGACTTTAGGAAGCATGCTGTACATTGTCGCCGCCACGTTCTTCGCTCCTATCTCTTCAGTGCAGGTCACATGAGCATGGCGCAGCTACGCTCGAGCGCGAAGGGCATCGAGGATCGCGATCTTCTGGAGGATTTTCCCGGATCTAGCTCAACCGGGTCCCAAGGAATAAACCTAGATAGCGTAAACTAATCAGGACAGCGCGTCAAGAGCCCGCCAAACTACAACGACAGCATCGAAGAGCCCAAGCGGGGAGCCCTGCAGGAAGGCGGGCTCCTCGTTGTCGTACCTATGCGAGGGGAGCCCGATTCGGGGCTCTTTCATATCACGACTTTTGAAGTTGAAGGGCCCCCCGGGCCCTTTAACCCCGAAATCGGTGATATTTTAATATTCCCAGTATTTTAATACTGGGAATATCTCCCCGGTCAGAGGCTTAATATTGTAAATACATCGGTAATACTTCGTTCTCATAAATGATATTTATATTACTGGGATAGGAAGCAACGTTAGTGCTGCTATCGCAGACCAAATAGGATTTTATCCGTGGTACGTCAAGTCAAACGATGACCCCTCTTGACATCTAACTGGTATATTTCTTGAAACCGGTACGGCTCTGGTGCCGCACTGGGCCCTCCAAAAGGTTTATATGCGTGGGCAGATTGAACCGGTGTGCTACCGACGACACCGGTATGAATCAGTGCATATATTGAGCAGGGTAAAGAGAACGCTTGGACTGTACAATAGCACTAGTTTGCATTTTCTACAAGCTGCAAAACAGATCTCAACCAAGATTTGCATTTTTAATTTCGTAAAGCATTGCCGGTTGATACCTTGCATCTACAGCTTTTAAGAAAAAATCCGGACAGATGCTGCGGCTGCGAAGCAGGCGCAGGAGATGACCGTAGCTAGTAAGAAAAATAATTAAAAATAATTAAAAAACGACAGGTTTATACCAAAATTCTCCTATCCCAGCCTTCGCGGAGCCCTAGTTCAAGAGCCAACAATTGTGAATATTTCCTTTAACAACAACAACAATACCTCGTCGTGAGGATTGGCCCCACAGTCAATGGGCGCTCCATCTCTGTGTAGTCTGGCAAAGTACTACAGTGCATTCAGTTAAGAGATATTTTACGGCGCTACAGCGCATTGGAGAATGCTGCAGGAGAGACCTCCGTCATGAGGATTGACAGGATGGGGCTCATGATGCCAAATGCACCGGCGGTGAGAAGCTGGAGACCCACGATCGCGGCCACAGTGCACGGGGCACCACGCTTACGCTGCGGCATGCGGGGCGCGGAGGTGTCAGCGGCGGCGGTGGTGCTGTCCATCTCGGTCGGATACTTCACTGGGAATGAAAACGTGATACCAAAACCTGTGAAAACCGATCACTACGACCAGAAAAAAGTTGAAGATGACAAAAGGGGTTTTAAACGTAGCTCTATCGTGTGTTTTAGTATCGATATGCATCTAATGTGCACTTTTACACTTCAGAGGAGTTCGCTCCTAGCGAAGGCTCAGAGAGCAATTGGTCGTCATCCAGCATGGAGCTAGTGGCATACTCCACTCTGTCGCCCTTTTCCACTTCATCCTTGTCAGTCTCGAAGTACACGGAAGCCAAAGCCGGAGTTTCGTCCGACACGGGTGGCGGCAAAGGAGCAGGTTCAACAGCGACTTCACTCCGCGACGGGGGCGTCTTGCTCACGGGTAGCGAGACAGCCACTGCGATCCCGACGACGTAGACGCACGAGGCAACGATGTACGGGAGAGCTTCGGACAGAAGGGACTGCCGGGTCATCGCAGCGTACAGCGAGGAGAAGACGATGGGGCCGATTGCGTCAAAAACTGATCGAGCGCCATAGATTGCGCCTTGAAGACGTCCTTGTTCCTGCAGATTCAGAGTCAAATTATGATAACCCCGTCAATGTTTTAGCTTGTTCAGGTGAATAGATGCTAAAACATACCTTCTCCGAGACGTTCATTGACTTGAGAGCCGATATGGCGGGGAAGGTGAGGTCTCCGATGCAACCAGGGATGAACGACAGGAATACGACCCATTTGTGCGGGTAAAACGCGGCACCGGCAAAGCCGCCCGTCTTCATCAGACTGGCGATCAGCGCGATGATGATCACGCCTTTCTCCTTGAAGCAGCCCACCAGCGCCTTCACCAGTAGCCCCTGTCCTAGCAGTGCTAAGACGCCTCCGAGTAGCATCAAGTTGGCAAAGTCTTTCACATCGAATCCCACAATTGTCTGAAATCCACCATCATGGGCTGCGTTAGACCAGCTCGCAATTGCGTTTATATTGTTGGGGACGTACATTCAGGGAAAAGGACTGGATCTGGAAAATCCCGTTCCTGATGAAACTCGTGATCACGATCAAGCACGTCAGCCGCATGAACAATTTATTGCGGAAAAGGATGGACAGAGAGCTGATAGGACTCTCCATCACCCAATGCGTCTTGGTCATACGCGAATGCTTCGGTACCGTTTCGGGCAGAATGCATACTGCCCAAAACACCCGGATCACGAAAATACAAGCGGCAATCTGCAGAACTTGCTCCTACATAAATAAAAATCATCCGCGTTAGAAACGAACAGTCAGCAATACAGTCATAAACCGAGCAGCAAGTACGAACTCGAGAGAAGAATGGGGCTGCGAAAGCACTCAAAAGAAAACCCTGAAGACAAGCTCGCAAAAAGAATGCCAAATGCTGCTGCGCGGTTCTCGGGGGACACAATGTCGCGACCGCAGCGCCCATAACTCCAGCAGTTCTGGGTCAAGATCAATATGGCTGTTAGTACATAGGGGAAACCGAGCTGAAACGTAGATACGTACCCAAACCCATTTAACGAGCTTCGTTTCCGAAGGAATTTTCCAGATGCAGCCATTTTACCTCAATGTAAGTCCTTTCAACAGTATGCATAGTCCGACTTTCTGTGTCATCCAACTGAGTGATTCTGTACTGCTCTGCAGACTGTTGTGGGGTACGACGTGAATGATTTTGGCAATCTGATGCTGGTTGGAGGCGTTCTAGTCATGCTCGGACAAGCTTGAACAGGTTCACTCTAGTGAGTTTCATGGGAGAAAGAGGCATGATCATCACAGGTTTAGTGAGCTGCTTAGTGAGGACGTGCGGGATTGCGGGGACGGCAGTGTACCCGTACAAGTGGGTGGTGTTCTTTCTGTGTATACCTTCTTGTTTCGGCGAGTTGGCCTTCCTAGCCATTTCTGCGCTGGAATCAATTAACTGTTCGGAAGAGGTACGCTGCACTTCTCCTTGTGAAGTCATTCATTATCTAACTATCTAGGTTTGCTACAGGAGCAAGGTCGCCTGCAAGGCGCGATCTACGGAGCTCGATCGGTTTTCGAAGCGATTGGACCCGTCGTTTTCCCCGTCTTGTACGCTGCTATGACTCGAAAGTCAGTTTGGTCGCCAGCGCTCCCGTTTGTGATCGCTTCGTGCATTTATCTCGTCGGTGTTGTTATTGCCGTGTCGCTACCCGCCGGCAAGAAATCGAGCAAGCCTGTGGACGAGGAAGCTCATTTACTGTCACCAAGGGGGGAACCAGCACCCTCACACTTTAAGACCGAGCCCGAAACTGAGGATGAAATTGGAGGTGACGATGCCATGGCTGTTGCTGGCAGAACGGTGCTACACGTAGATGACGACTACCGTACCTCACAGAAAGAACGGTTAACAGTTAGATTACCATTTCAAGACCTGGGGCAATCTTTTTGAAATTGAAATGTAATTTTAGCCAATCAAAACGCATAGAACTGCTAATATTAACAGGAAGAAAGCATTTTCGAAGGAAATGAGAGCTTTTTAACGGTAATTTGAGTGCCAAATGAGAAAGACCAAAAGTAATCTTTGTGTGAGGTACGGTACTTGCTTGCAGAGCCGCTGCTAGCCTCACAAGGCACGCTTTTTTCTGTAAAGCTAAGAAATATATTCCAGATTTCAATGCACTTCTAGCACTTCAACGCATCGGATCATATTTTTCTGATGGGGTTCAGACTAGAAGGGCGACCCTCAGTCAAAATGCAGCACCTCGAAGAGCATCTCGTCCACCCACAGGGAAGAGCCACGGCGCCACTGTTGCCGCCACGTCGCCCTGCAAGCCGCAGCGGAAGCGGGGCTTCTCGTGCAAGTTCGGCACCATCGTGGTGCTGCAGTTCCTGACGGAGGCGGCGTTCAGCATCATGAACCCCATCCTCTCCATCGTCATGACGGAGGTCTGCAAATGAGCAAAAATGTGTCAGTCCCACCGACAATCCTCACTCTATCCATTAATTGTATGCAGTATTTCGCCAGGCAGCATCGACATGGACTGCCAATTGACTGTGGAGCCAACCCACTCGACGCGGTACAGTCATTATGGTTAAGTACAAATGGCATGAATCGCTTGAGGCTCTGCTTGTTGATGCTTGGACTCTCTGTTGTGCGCTGGTCAAGCGATCCCGAAGGGCCGCAGACTTCTTACCAACGGCCGCAGGGCAACCTTCTTACGACAGCATAAGGTTTGAAAGGCAAATAGGCTTAATAAAGGGTCCTAAGCGGGTCCAAATAAGGGTAAAATGTCGCGTTTAAGTCTATTTCTGATGTCCTCCCTACTAACGGTCGAATTTGCTGTTTCATAACTTCGACCCTCTGGTTTTATGACATCTAAAGATAGTGATGTCGGTTCAGCTCAGAAAAATCCGTGCCGATACCACCTTCCGATAAGCATCCAAATGTTGTTTAACCGAGGTATTTTTTCATTTTTTTGTCCCCGTGTGAGCGATTCTAAATTGTGACCCTAACCCATTCGCAGAATTAATGTAAAAAGTAAAGCGGAGTGTATATAAGAGACGTAAAAACTCCATAAAACGGAGTCTCATGATTATAGGGGGGACTTCGTCCCCAATGACACTTTTTCAACTTTATTTTGCCTTCACGCTCAAAGCAGTAAACAGCGTTCGGCCGAACTTACTTCTGAGCATTGAGCGTATCGAACAATGCTGCTGGCAAACTGGCGGAACAAACCGAGCCTGTAGCATTCTTCCTTCGGCCTAACGAATCCCCACTGCTGCCTCCACCCCCAATCATGAGAACTGGTCATCGAAAATGACGAGAATAGCAAATGGAGAAGGAGGATAACGAAAATATCAAGGACCAAGGCAACATGTAGCTCGACTCGATTCACTATACCTCGCAGTCGGACGATATGCAAAGCAAAACAAAATAATAGACTGAAACTCCTCAGCATGGCTACATTTGGGCGTCCCTTCACCTTCACCTTCATCTCCCAGCGCCTCTTCGAGTGCCATTGTCCGAGATCATCCCAACACTAGCAGAGCAATGGTGCGAGGCATCGTCCTGCTTCCCCCCTTGTCGCTCACATTCTCACTCTGGCCCGTGTGCCACGCGACAGATCCGCTTCTTCCTGCTGCAGAACCGCCAGGGCAAGACGCGGTTGTCCAAGTGGTACGTGCCGCCGCCCGAGGACCAGGAGAAGGCGCGACTGGAGGCCGAGATCCACCGCCTCGTCGTGGCGCGCGACGCCAAGCACACCAACTTCATCGAGTTCCGCAACTACAAACTCATCTACCGCCGCTACGCCGGACTCTTCTTCATCCTGGGCGTGGACCTCGCGGCCAACGAGCTGCTCGGGCTCGAGACCATCCACTTGTTCGTCGAGCTGCTGGACCAGCAGTTCGCCAACGTCTGCGAGCTCGACATCGTCTTCAACTTCAACAAGGTGACCTACAAACATGACGCCGCAACAACACCATCTAATATCTACCGAGTTAACCCATCCTTACCTTGTTGCAGGTCTACTCTATGCTGGACGAGTATATCCTCGGTGGCGAAGTGCAAGAGACCTCCAAGCGTGAGATGCTCGACCGTATCCGCGAACTGGAGAAACTCGAGTAAGGGAGCACTTTCAGCGTTGCTATCTAGCAGCCTCCATAAGGTCGGTGGGATAATACCTGCAACACCCGAGGCCGATAATATCACTTCGTTTTGCACTGCACGACACGTCGAGCTCTCGTTCCTAACCAGAAGTCTATTCAACGAGTCAGCCCAAGCAAAAGTGAGCAGCTGTGTCACGAGCGAGGGCGTTGCTTCAGCTTGCTTCGTTGGCCTCGCCCACACTAGCTTCTATCGTATCGCTTGTAAACACTTCCTCCGCAGGCTTCTCACCACTACTGGGAGTTGTAGCAACCAGCTCCGTGTCCTTTACAGGCACAGACGCAACGACATCCTCAGTGATCGCCGACTGGGCATTACACTGAGGCTGCTGAGCATCCGAAGATGCATCCTCCACTGCCTTCTCCTCGCCTGATGGCGCCACCACATCGCTTTCCTCCGTAATAGGCGCCTTGGAAACGTCCAGAGATTCCTGTTCACACGCACTCGCCTCTACAACAGGCAACACATTTTCATCCGCTCCCACAGCCTTGGCGGGCTCCGCGACCTCGGCCACAGTAACATCAGGCTCCTCTGAGCTCACCTGCTCAGTTTCGACTGCGCTGGAAGCCTCCTCCATTACAACGTCCTCAGACGCTAGCGCAATGGGATCACTGGCTTCTGCTGTGACAACCGCGCTCGCCTCTTCACTTTTGAGCACCTCAATCTTCACGCTCGTCTTCTTGGCGCTCACATCACCACCCGACGAACGCAGAAAGTCGTTCGCAACCAGAAAATGCACAATCTGCAGCATCTTGCGCTGCTCCACACGCACGTCCTTCGCCAACAACTTGCGCAGCAGCGACTTTTGCTCACCACGCCACTGCTGCTCCGTGACTCGCTCCTTCGATGCCTTCTTGGAACGTTCACGCTGGCCCGACATCACTGCTGTGTCGTGTGAGAACGGGCAATACATACCCTTGGAGCACGACCCCTTGAACATCATGGCGCGGCACCCAAACGCCGAGCGATCATGACTGTTGTTGCAATGCGCTTCATCAAAACGGCAATGACCACGCATGAACCACTTGCACAGCATGGCTTTGCGCTGCTTCTTGGCCGGCGGCGCTTGGTCGGGAGCCGCCGCATTCATGGCTGCATTTCTGAAAGCAATCTTGGCCTTGACTTCCTCGTCTTCCTCAATCTCTCCTTCTTCCAGGTCTTCGTCAGATGACACTGAGAGTTTGCGCTTTCCAGCCACCGGCGCTGACATTGCTGGCCTAGGTGGCTTCGGCTCACGGGACATCGCGAGATACTTCTTGCGGCGCTCCTCACGCCACTTGGCGATATCCTCGGCGGAGTTACCTACAAGCACCATAAACTTCTGGCCTTCCACATCGATCTCCTTCAATCCTTGACCAGCGTATTCTCCGTGAGTCGTCTGGTAGTGTACACCGACAGCACGTTTGCACGCGGTGAACTCACAGTCCGGGCACATGACGTGCGTACCCTTGTGCGCTTCGTACTGGGAAGCGATGTGAAAGCTTTTCGCGCACGGTTCACATGTCCACACTGGTTGCTCAGCCTGAGACTCGTAGTTGTCGTACGGGAGCGGTGGCTGCGAATTAGGGGGCAGTGGAGGCGCCGGTCCGTCAGGTAGAGGCGGCTGTCCATTGTTCATACTGAAACCCTGTCCCTGCCCGTCGAACGATCCTCCGTTCCTTCTCGGATCTTGCGGCTTGTGTCCAGGGGGAGGTGGCGCGGAGTTCCACTGCTGATCTTGACCGGGGCCATACCGCTGCTCTTGGCGAGACCCGTAGCGATCGTTCTCGTTCGCAAACAGCGGGCAGTGCTGTTTCCAGTGTCCGGGCTGGTTGCAGTTGTGGCAGACGTACGACGGCGGAGGCGGTCGGTGCGGCTTGTTCTGGTGCCGTTCATGTCGGTCCTGGCGGCGGTCGTGGAATCGAGGGTTCTGGTCTCTCTGGAAATGGCGCTGATTCATGGGAGGTCCCTGTCCTTGCGGCTGATATCCCTGAGGCCCACCAAACTGTTGCTGAGGCGGGGCCCGCTGCCACTGCTGCTGCTGCTGCTGCTGCTTCTGCTGTGGCCATTGCTGTCCTTGCTGCTGCTGTGGCCACTGCTGTCCTTGCTGCTGCTGTGGCCACTGCTGTCCTTGCTGCTGCTGTGGCCACTGTTGTCCTTGCTGCTGTTGAGGCCACTGTTGTCCTGGCTGCTGTTGAGGCCACTGTTGTCCTGGCTGCGGGGGCGGAGGCTGTTGCTGCCACTGCTGCGTTTGCTGCTGTGGCGGGTAGTTCCAGTCCCCCCGCTGGTCCTGAGGCATCGGCGGTGGCAACGGAGGCTGCTGCTTCTCTTGTTGCTGGTACTGTTGCGGCTGCGGCGCTGGTGGCTCGGTCGGTTGGTGGTACGGCGACGGCGGAGCCTCCGACGCATCATCTTCCGCCTGTACTGGGGCGTAAGCCTGTTGCCTGGTCCGAGCAGCTTCTGCGTAGTCTGCGGGAGGCTGCGGGGGGAGCGGCGGATTGGTCGCGTACCTCGGACTCTCCTCCTGGAACTGCTGCTGCTGGGGCTGTTGATACTGCTGCTGAGGGGGAGCAGGGAGCTGCTGAGGGGGAGCAGGGGGCTGCTGATATTGCTGCTGGTAGGGCGCAGGAGGCTGGTACCTGTCCATCGGCGGGGGGCTATACCCGTCCTGTTGCTGCTGCTGTTGGTACTGCTGAGGCTCCTGATACTGCTGTTGCTGTTGCTGGTATTGGTCCGGGGGTGGAGGAGGAGGGGGGTACTGCTGGTACTGCGGCTCCTGCTGCGGAGGATACTGCGCATACTGATCTTGCTGGGGAGGGTACCCTTGCTGCTGGTACCCTTGCTGCGGAGGTTGAGGAGGAGGAGGGTACTCTCCATACTCGCCTCCATACTGCTCCTGCTGCTGCTGCTGTTGAGGGTACGGTGCGTACCCCTCCGTGTACCCCGCATCTGCGTGCCGGCGCTGGTGGAAGCCGAAGTTGTCTCTTCCTCCGCGCCCGCGTCCGCCGCCTCGTCCTCGGCCTCCACCTCCACCTCGTCCTCTTCCCCCACCTCGTCCTCCTCGTCCACGCCCGAAGCCGCGTCCGCCGCCACGGCCGCCGCGGAAGTTGCCTCCACTGCGCTCCATTTCTCTAGTCTCGCAATGTGAGAAGTTACGCGTGGTTACTCTCCACGAATAGAAATGATTGGCCAACTGACAACACACAATTTCGTACTTAGCCGGAGGTATTCCCAGGTGTTGAAGTTGATGGTACGCAGAGCTCCACCCCCTACAGGAAGCTAGAAATGGCCATCGAGTGCAATAAAGGCGTTTGGCACCAAGTCTTTCTGCAGGTTGGCATGGATAGCTGCGCAGGCTCGCATGAAATAAATCCAGGTTATTATATTCCAACCAGTATGAGCGGCATTTCCCAGAAGTTAGCGCAGAAGCTACAAAAAACATGATACTGCAACAATTTGCAGCCAGGAATTCCCTAGCGAATTGTCTAGCGCATTGCTTTTAATGTGATGCTGAAGACGTTGACAGCCGGTGCCTCGAGCGCTCAGTCCTCCAAATACTTCACATTCTTCACGTGCTACCAAAGGAAAGAATAATCCGTTTCAAGAATGCGCGTTACTGGTTCTTATATGCTTGCTCGTGGTCGCTGCTTCGGCGAACGGAGAAGCTGAGGCGGACAGCTGCGGACGAAGACGAAGTTAACCGCAAACGTTCTTCTTTCAGGGACCCTCAGATAGTTGCTTGTAGCGGTGAAGACGACGAAGAGAGATGAAAACTACGAGTGGTCAAGTTCGACATGCCCAGAAACTGAAAGCTCAGACCCCACCAAGTTGCCCAATTCGCCAAGTTGGGCAAGGATGGCAAGAAGTCGCTTCTGGCTCAGTCAAGGAACTGCATACATTCACGGAAACTGGTGTGATTTCATTTTTAGAAACTCTAAATTTATTCCCGATATTAGAACGTTCAGTAAATGCACCCAAATACAGGCCCCCAATTACAACAGCAGGTTACACTGGTTACATTGTCATCCACTTTCCAACGTACCCCGGTCGCGATGGAGTCCTCCGAGCCGGCACTGCGCCGCTCCAAGCGCGAGCACCAGCCGAGCGCCAAGGCCGCGGCCTCTGCTGCGTCTTCCTCGCTCTCCGCTGTCGGTACCAGCGCCGCGCGTCGCTCGCAACGGCGCCGCGTAACCCACTCATCGTCGCCAGCATCCACCCCCGCGTCTACACGTAACTCGTCGCCTGTGCGGGGTACGCTGAGCTCGCCCGCGCCGTCCAAGGAGCTCGTGTCTGTCGCGGTCGACGCCGTGGGGCCCAATGGCCAGCGGCGGCGGCTGCGGGCGGCGGCGCACACCGGCACGACGTCAAGTGTACCTCATGGGGTACAGTCGGGTACTGGGGTACTCGACGACGGCAAGGTGCTGGGCAGGTACTCGAGCCACGACTGCGCGCTGCTGTGCGAGGTGATTCTGGGCCAGTTGAAGCGGCAGACGCTGGCTCCGACGGTGCTGGACGAGCGCAAGTCGCCAGGTAGTTACCTACTTACTGTACGGGGATACCGTTGAAAAGTAAACTAAGAGGGTTATGCTCATGTTGCCCACCATGTTGCAGCGTACATTAGATGGGAGCCTGTGGCCAAGAAGATGGAGACGACGCACAAGCTCCGGGTGACGCCGAGAGAGTGTCAGTTACTGTGGAAGTTCCTGGCTTACGGTCAAGTTCCGGTGCTGGGGGCGGAGCAGGAGGATAACGAGCTGCTGCCAGACTCGGACGAGGAGGATTTCCACAAACCCCCGAAGCAGATCAACGCAGAGCTGGCGGCAAAAGCAGCAGAGAAGAAGAAAAGTGACGAAGTTGGGGCGACAGCCGAGTCGAAGGAGGACGAACAGGTTCCGGCAACAGATTCCACCACTGAAGATCGAGATGAACAGGTTCCGAAGGGTGAAACCCCATCGCCACAGAGTGAATGCACACAAAAGGACAAGACGGACTCGTCAGCAGCAGGAAAAGACCAGGAGGATGCGCCGGAAGCAGGTGATGAACTGGAGAGCGCGTCGTCGCTTCGGCTGTATCCGACGTACTCGCTGCCTACGGGGGCGCCGGACGGATGGTACCGTCCCTTCGCTCCGAAAGATGCTTTGCCACTGACATTTGTGGCCTCCAGATTCCTCCGCCGGAAGGCAACTCCGCCGTTGACACAGTCAGTTTATTCTCAGGCGGCGGCTGGAACGAGTGCTGCAGGGGCAGCAGATCTCAAGCGGAAGCAGCAAGCGTCGGCAGTAAGTGCCACGGGGGCCAAGAAACCGAAGGTGGCCACGCCTCCGGTGTCGACGCCACCACGGACATTCACGCCGTCGTCAACGCCTCCTCCTGCCGCGCAACGTGCTCGCTCCCAGCTCGAGTTCTTTGAGCTCCGACTTCGAGAAGAACAGGCAAAGACAACGCCCGGAAGTAAGTTCGAACTCTCGACTGCAGACATCCAGCGTCGCTTCGGAGAGGCCTCGCCGGAGGTTCGGCGGCAGTGCCAAGTGCTGGCTGCGCAGGACGTCGAGCGGTTCAACCGAGAAGTGGTGCGCGTGCGCATTTGGCAGAAGGCAATGGGGGCGAACAACACCAAACCGATATCAACACTGGCACCAGCGCCGGCGGTTGGAACGACATCGGTGTCTTCATTAACTCAAGCTGCGAGTACCAAACCAGCGACAACAAATTCTGCTGGAGCAGCGGCTGCTGGCTCGAGTTCGACAAAGATCCCTATGGTCACGAAGAGTTCAGGCCCTACCGCTGCCCTGCTTGCGCACGCTGCTGCGGTGGCCGCGACTGCCGCCAAAGCCAGGATCAGTGAGCAGACAAATACGACTGCAGGTGCGTCGAAAGCTGGTGAGGGATCAGCTACGACAACAGCTGAAACGAAGTGATGCAAGCTGGCCGAGCTTACTTGTACCTGTGCACTTGACGCTGCCGAGTTGTGCTCGACCTCTGCGCGCGCAATCGATTACCCGCCACGATGTGAATTGGACCGATAGCGTTGAACCATCTCCTGAGAACTGCAACTACAGCGATCGTGCCAATATTCAACCGCGTCTTTGCCTGTGTCGCTTGGGTTTTAAATGTATACTTTTGGTGGCAACACCACTGTGCGATTTCGTAGACGCTGCTTGCCAACTGATGTTGCTTGTTTCACAATAACGAGCGTAAACCTCAGTAGAATCAAGAATGACGCCCGCACTACTCGTCCAGCCCATCGTTGAAGGTGTAGTTCTTCGGAACCTGAAGCATGGTGCACCGGAATTTACGGACTCAACTTGAAAAGGTAGGAGAGTCCTGTGTCGTGCGCTGCGTGCAGCGCAGGTGTACATACATGTACCTCCACAAGCAATCCAAGTCTACACACTTGGATTGGATGAGGCTCCAAGTTTCCGGCGGTAACGATATCAGATCGACTGATGTTGCTTGCAGGTTTAGCGGCAAGCATAAGCGCTGTACAACAGTTGCTGTTAAACGAGATTGTGCGTGGGCAGCGAAGACCTCTTAAAACAGAGGCTGGTGTCCTGGATAGCAAGACCCAATGCCATACCTCGAGCACTTCGCTAGTTGTTCTCAACGAAATGGCAGCTCCGTGGCAATGCCAGCACTTCAAATTGCAGTGCCGGCCGCGTCTGGATCGCTGGTGCCTCCCCACAGTGGGGCCCACTGGTGTCGGGAGGGTGTGAGTCTGTATCGGCTACGGATTGTGCCGGCCGCTCTAACGGCAGACATAAGCGGTTGAAGCGAAGATGGACTTGGTCCAGTGCTCATCACCGATGACTAGCCAAACACTTGATTTTTGTATGGGGACAAGAGTGGGACCTGTAACGGCCAACTTCAACTTGTTGACAAGTCCACTTTAGGGACGACTAGCCAAGCGCAATAGGAGAGGGTCTCCGCTAGCGCAATGATCTCTATCCAGTGGCGTCGGAGCTGCTTCAACCTCCGCTTCCACCCACTCTGGGGGCTTTTTAACAGCCTCAACGCGTCGGTGCAGGTCGCCTAATAGCGCCGCATTAGCGATCCCACTGTGGCCACACGCCTCTGTTCCTCCGAGGAGAGACCGGTCGGCCATTCCTCTTTTTGCGCTGTGCCGCGACCGCCCAAGTTCGCTGTCATCATGTCCAACCTGCTGCTCAAGGAGGCGGCATCGCACGCGCCCGGGGCGGGGGCCGACTACGATAACCTCATGTCGCCCGTCCTGCGCAACAGCAGCACCACTGCCAAGCGCCCGGACCTGGAGGCTGGCGAGTTCAAGGAGCCCCAAGGAGCCTCGTTCTGGGTCCTGCTGGCCGTGTCCATGCCTCGCATGGCTGTCAACATGGCCTGGGCCGCGCAGTGGGCGGCGCTCGGCCCGTACCTGAGCACGATGCTGCCCAACTACGCCGTGCAGCTCACGAGTGTCATCGGCCCAGTGGTGGGCATCATCTTTGGCCCCGTGATCGGAGTGCTTAGCGACCGCAGCACGTCGCACTTCGGCCGGCGCCGGCCCATTCTCGTCGTTATGGGCGTGCTCAGCATCATCTGCTGGATCCTCATGGGCTACACGAGCGAGATCGGCGAGGCGCTGGGCGACGTGGGCTCTGGCCTGGCCGGCCAGAAGACGGACCGGACGTGGACGGCCGTCTTCACGCTCATCTTCTACCTCTGGATGGACATCACCGTGACGTGCAGCCAGACGCCTACGATGCTCCTGGTGGCTGACTTTGCCGGCGACCGACAGACGCTGGGCGCGGCGCTCGGACTCGGCTGGGCCACAATGGGCGCCATCATCCCGGCCGTGTACATCCAGATCTGGGGCGCGGCCTACTTGACGCTGCACTGGTTCATGGGGCTGCTCTGCGTCGTCATGTTCATCAGCGTGACAGTCGCCGTTATATTCGGCAAGGAGACGCCGCTGGAGAAGACGGATAACGTCAGCGCGTGTCGAAGCATCCAGGACTCTTTTGTGACGATCTTCAAGGGCATCCGGACCATGCCCCCCATGCTCACAGTGTACGCGGCCATCATGTTCTTCGTGCTGTACGGCTACTCGGCCTACAACGGCAACAAGGGCCAGTTTTTCGGCCTCGTGGTCTACGGAGGCTCGGCCGACAACGCCGACTCGTGCAACCCGTGCTCGGCCGAGCAGATCGCGTACAACCACGGCGTGAGCAAGGCCAGCGGCCTCGGCGACCTGCTCTTCAACACCGTGGGCTACGTCTACTCGTGGGTGCTGCCGTTCTTGGTCCGCCAGTTCGGCGCGCGCGTTGTGCTGTCCGGCTCGATGCTGGCCCAGGCGCTGCTCATGGCCATGGCCTTTTGCTCCAGCGTGGGCTTCGACCTCTTCGTCGTGGCCATTCTGTCCGTGGCACAGGGCACCGCGTTCGCGCTCATGGTGCCCACCATAATCCACGTCTTCGGCGGCCGCAGCGATGTGGACATCGGAATGTATGTGGGGGCTCTCAACTCGGCCAACTGCTTTGGTCAACTGCTCAACTTCGCTATCGGCACGGCCGTGGTGCAGACGTCGCTGGGCTACAAGCTGCCAGTGTTTCTGGGCGGGGCAATGAGCTTCTTGGGCTTCCTCGTTGCGGCCTTCCTCTTCAAGGTCAAGATGCACTCCATGTAAGACTCGATGCTGAGCCATTGTTTGACGTATATGATATCGGATAGCGCGATCTCCAGTCGCTTGGTATGAAGCACAAATCTATTCTCCTGATACTACGTAGAAATATTGTGCCTTTCACTTATTCTGCCATGATAATTCTGGCATAATTCTAATCCCTTCTCGGCTCTAATTATGCCCTGAGTTAGCTAATTCCCATGTTAATTCCGGGTCGTCCCACCGCGGTCGAATTAAGAGCGGCGATGGTGAGGCCGAGTTAAGGCGGAATATGCTAGCCCAGCCTGAGTTAGACGGTTTGCTACCCGCCAATCCATGCTATTCTGCTCGTATCTCCGTCGATTAGCTCGCAAATGCTGATCGCGTGGGTTAGGGGAAGCACTCACAATCATAGGCGGAATTAACACTAAATAAGCGTTGCTCGTCCTTTTATGGATCTAATTCCGCCTGATTTAACAGCTCACCCGCCAAAATACGTGAAAGGCACAATACATCGATTCAACTCAAATAGACCGAATCGACTGGCACATCTCACTGATCTCGCGGCTACATTGAATCGTGGCGATGTTGTGCATCACACCTAGTTATTTGAAGCACAACAACTAGAATAGCAAGTGTCTTGATTTGCCTTCTTTTCTTTCGTATAATATACACATATTATGTGCTAGTACGGTACAATACACGATCCATTGCCCGCTCAGTAGCCCGCTTTTCCTTCGTCGACGTCTTGTGGCTGGCGGGTTAAAATGCACTTGTCCAAACTCAATGTTTATTAGAAATCACACATATTTATTAATTCCTTGTTACTGTAGCGTTCCCTCTCTTCGGTCAAGAATCTTGACTCAAGATCCACTCTTATTAATAAATACTGCAATGCTGTAATAAAGACTACGAGGCTTGGCAAATTCCAAACATTCCAACGACAGCACGATACATGTAATCGAGGGTACCACAGTAGATGCAGTATCATACTGCCAGTATGATCAAGCATGAGATCTGCTAGACATCTAGAATTGCGTTACGGTACGCACGTGATCACAGTTTGTGAAGTGAGGTGAGCCCATTCGGGGCCTTCAGAAAATCACGCAAAGCACATTTCGTCGCAATTTGAGAGCGATTTTGCGTTCACCTACACCTAGATTTGCGTTGGGATTGTGAGCGCCAAAATCACCAGTAAAATGCAACCACAGAGTAGGCAAGTTTAGGCGGCGACAAATAGTCTATGGAGAGGATTGCAACTCCAGGGCTTAGCGGAAAACACAGTAGCGATAACGAGCAATCCAGTGATATGCATTACAATGTATGAAAACGATGGTAAGTGCATGGAATAGCATTCGCAAAATCACTCGCAATTTGCAGAGACTCCAAAATCGTCTCCGCAAATTGCGACTGTTTTTGCGAGCGCATCGGCGCATTTTGCTACAGGATTTGCGTTTGTCGAATTTGCGATTTGCGTGATTTTCTGAAGTCCCCCATTAAGGGTTAATACGGTACCTGTTTGAACGCAGCACTTTACATCGTAGAGACGGCGTAAGTGTTACTGCCTCATCGACTATCCTGTAACCTGCTTCTACTCATTATATCAAACCGTAAAGAAAGCAAAGCATAAGACCAGTCCACGCGATCACAAGTGGCGATATTCTCGCGAGACGAGTTAATTGAAGCGGCCAAGGGTGTCTCCCATCGCTTTTACATTTTTGTGTCGCCGTCTCAGATCGTTTCGGTGGCAACACGATCCTTGGGACGGCATTTCTCAACTTGCAGGCTCCCTTGCACCTCAATCGGTCGACGATGGTGTCAGTCGCGTCCTTTATCTCGGCTACTGCTGTAGCGGTGGTTGGGTGCCTTACGACTCAAGTCCAAGCCCACGGTTACATGCTCATCCCCTTGACCGAGTTTAAAGGCACAGCGACAGGAGCGTGGATCGTGCAGATCTCCCCGCAGTTCAACGCCAACTGGGAATTCGTCGCTGACGACACAGAACTCATCGCGCTGTACGTCGAGAAGGCCAAGGAGGCCGGATACGCCAACAACATCCGCAAGTTGCTGGACAGCGACACGAACTTGTACGGAGCCGACTGTGGCTTCTCCAACCCGGACGCTAAGCCCAAGGACCCGCCGACGGATGGCACGGCCACTTTTGAGCGTGGACTTGCTCACCACGTACGATTTGATGCTCCTTCTCGACAAAATGACACAAACACAACTAACAATGTGCTACGTTTTGTTGTTCGTAGGGTCCATGCGAAATCTGGCTGGATGACACGATGGTGCTGCATAACGACGACTGTGCTAAGGCCTTCAGCGTTGAGGACTACATGAGCATCAAGTCGGTGTTCAAGCCGATCGACTAATCGTCCTGCTCATCGAGCGGGTGCATGTTCCGCTTCTACTGGCTCGCGTTCCAGGGCAGCACGAGCGGCAAATACGTTTGGCAGATCTACAGTACGTGATGACGTCGTATGGAGTGGACTGTTCGCTTTTGTGGTGACACAGGTACTTACTTGTTGCTTTGATTTTGTGTTGAACTTATTCAGAGAACTGCATCCCTCTGACCGGGCCTGGTGCGGGTAAGGCCAGCACGGCCTCCACGAGCACGTCGAGTAACTCTACCGCTCAAACGTCCGAGACCCCTTCGACTAATAACGTTACCCCGACGGAGACCCCGATGGCAGGATCCCCAAGTACCCCCTCCCCAGGCACTCAAGTGCAACAAACACCGATGACCGAATCGTCGAATGCCAACGCGCCCGTAACCCAAGCGACTCAGACCCCACTGGCCACCGACACGAATACCAATGGGCAAGAGACGTCAGCTCCCATGGCAACTATGCCGCCGACGTACCATCAACCAGCGACAACATGCCGAATACTGTACCCCCGAACCCGGCAGGACAAACGGCCACGGTCACCAACTCGCCAGTGTGGACCAACGCGCCAGCACCCGAGACTGTCCAGGCGACGGTTGCTCCTTTCACTCAGAACCAGGAAACGCAAAACCCAGTGTGGACGGCTACGAACACTCCGAACAGTTATTCCTTCAACAGTGGGAACCAAGCCACGAACGCGCCGGAGACTGGAGGAGAGGCGCAAATGTTGACGGGGACGACAGCCCCCTCCTTCTCGTTCTGAAGCTCCTGATACCGCTGAAACATTTGTGAGTGCAGCTCACTCTGATGCTGACAGCATCGATGTTTCGGTCGCTTTCACGCCAACAAAAAAAGACGACGTCAGCAAGTTGTCAATCGATGTCAAGAAAAGTAGTGTTCAAAAGAGGTCATCGTTGATGCTAAGACTATTTTGTTACCAGTGCTTCCTGACCTTTTGGTCTCGCTACATGACCAATTGTTTTTAGTGATGTGTAGTTAGGGACCTTATCTTAGGAACACGCCGTTGGCGGTGATCATGTCGTAAGCTTATCCGATCAAACCCGGTAATACAGTCTCTGTACTACAGAGCGTAGCAGAGGTGTGTCCTTTGCGATACAAGCAAAGGAATGATTTTGGTCACAGTGACTGGAGATGTATTCGTAGGTACCAAGCACTCTACAAATAAAAAAAATGTAGAGCTATCTCCGATGAACTCACGCCACACACGTCTTACTCCTCTCGGCTAAGCGCTAATGCTACAGGGCTGTGATTTTCCCGCGGTTCCTCTTGGGAGCGTTGCTTTTTTCCGTCGTCGAGGGCGCGACAGGGGCCTGCGCGTTGGTCGCGGCCACCGGGGTTGGAGTCGCGCCACCACCATCCGATGACGAGGCTTGGGTAGTCGCGTCTCCGCTGGCTGGCGCATTCGTAGCAGGAGCGTCGGCTGAAGACCCCTCCGTCGTCTGGGTGGAGTTTGAAGCTGTGCTGACTTGACCGGCAGCAGGCCCCGTCAGCGCCACATAGCACTCTGTACAGCACAAAACACAGCATAGTCTGTTAATGGAGTTTTAGCCGGAAACGTTGGGGGTAAAGCAAAGGGTACGCACTGTAAATCTGCCAGACATATTTGCTGTTGCCGGTCGTGCGGCCCTGGAATGCCAGCCAGTAGAAGTGCAACATGCACCCATTGGCCGAGCAGGACGAGTAGTCGATCGGCTTGAACACCGTTTTAATTTTCTCGTAGTCGGACGTGCCAAACGTCTCCTCGCAGTCGTCATCGTGCAGGATCATCTTATCGTCCAGCCAAATCTCGCATGGGCCCTGTCCAGATATAAACATATACAAGTTAGGAAGGCCTGGTCATGTCGATCACGGTTAGTTCATCTTCATTCTTACGTGGTGGGCTATGCCGCGCGAGAAGGTGGCGGTGCCATCCGTCGATGGGTCCTTGGGGCTAGCATTCGGGTCGCTGTAGCCGCAGTCAGCGCCGTACAACTTTGTGTCGCCATCCAGCAGCTTCCGGATGTTGTTCTCGTATCCCTCCGCCTTCGCCTTCTCGGCATACAGAGCGATGAGCTCCGTGTCGTCAGTTCCAGTCGGCGTCGAACTGGGGCTCGATCTGGACGATCCACGATGAGATCATGTTGTCCTTCTTGTGGTCGGACAACGGGACCGCCTCGGGCACCAACATGTAGCCGTGGCCTTGGACGGTAGTAAGACAACCGGCCACCGCCACAGCAGTGGCAGCGAGAGCGAACTGGTCGACACCATGGGTCGGTTCAGTTGTTGCTTTGTTGGCTGAACCGGGAAAAACAACAATGCCAGAGTGAGCGGGGGCATTCGCTGGGAAACGTTCAAGGCGGGAAATTTCATTTCGTCGTAAAAGCACGGTTCAGGACTCCCATCTCAAAACGTTGATCGTTATAGCTGACTTGTGATAACTTATAAGTTTTTTGCACTACCTGGACATCGAAGAAGATAATTTATCTTGCTTAGAAAGAAAATTTTCATCGCTGTGGAAAGGTTTTAGCCCCGGGAGCATCTTGTGCTTTGGCTATGTTGCTTGAAGTTCACAATACACGGGACCCATTTCCCAGTTTACATCCTCGTCGCGTGGCGCCAGCTGATTATGACGCGCGATAACGTAGCAAATCTAACGCAAAACGTGCATCCCACATGAAGTGCACTGCAGCACGCCGAAGACAACTGGCCTAAGGGCTTGCAAACAAGTTCTGCCCCATGTATTAACTCAGTCTTGTGATGCCAAATTCAAACTTCCGCTTACAGTGTGTGCAGTACGGAATGCCGAAGCCTGCTTGGCCACCCCGAAAAAAAGTTTGTGTTGCTTTTCCTCTGCTCTGTCAACAATTGAAACGTAACGCTGCTGCTGATCCCGCGGGGACAGCTCAGCAACAGAGAGTCCATTCAGACTTTTGACTTCGAGCAGAGAGGCTAACGGCCCCGCGGAGGAGGGAGAACGAGAGTTCCTCAAGCCATGCGTACATGTGCACGAGTGCTGTGGTGCGGTGTGGGGAAGCCGAAGACATCCGACATGCTCGACTGAACGCAGAGGGTTTCGAGGCAGCAAGGTGAAGGTGCAGCTGCTAACGGAGAGCAACTCTATACAGGCCACCCAGCCTGGGTGACTCAGGACTGCGCTATGATGCCAGGTGGGACATCGCGACGCTGACAGCAGCTCCATCACGCGCGACTTGAGGCTTGGCTGACGACTGCCCAGAAGGCTGCGCAACAAGGCCATCGTTCGAGTCCAGCGCTGCCCCAGGCTGGGGCCCCCAGCACAACGCGACTACCATCGACCTTCGGTCGACGCGTGCGGCGATGGAGAGGACCTGAGCTGGAAAGGCACGCGCGCGCTTCGCTTTTACACCTACCGACCTTGTAGTTGACTGACTAAGTTAGGTCTTGGTGACCAAGTTGGACGGACGAGGACTGTTGTGGGGACACGCCAGCGGCCACTTCCATACATTCAGCGCGGGATCCTCAGATGGGGTCGGCTGCAAGCCAGAATTCCGTGTAAACCTCGGAGGAGCAGCCAGCAATGGGCGGCACCCAGTGCATACCTTGATGTAAAATCACGGGCAAGACGGTCGCAACGCGCGGAATCCAGCCGGGTCCATGGAAGATGTGAAGATGTGAGCGTGTGCCGGCCCAGCGGAGACTTGTCGACTTGCAGTCCCACACAACCCCACGATCCACCGATAACCGCTCTTGAGCGTATGGCTCTCAGTGACTGTCCTCCGGCACCATGGCTCCACCAAAAGGAGATGGCGCTAATAAACCGACTGAGATTATACAAGGAAGCTAATAACTAACGTTAAATAGACTACCTTTCCTCTCTCAGTGACTGCGATCAATAATGGGATTGGACGGTGTTGTCGAGCGTTCGAGGCTCTCTACATGCAGTGGCGACTGCCAAGCACGCGGTACATGTATATGCATACGTATAATACATGCACAGGTTTGTAGCTGCATTTATACGCGAAGAAATACCGACGGATTTCTGGAGGTGCTTGCAGACGGTCTCCACTCCACGTGCCTAGTTGATGCCTTCAAATTGAAGACACCCGACATCTGCGACCATCAAATCTCCGGCTGGTGGTATGTTAGCTGAGCGACCAACGCAGTTGGAGCGGGCAGTGAGTTTGTAGCGGTGGAGACACTTCGACGCATTTGTACAGAGCCACCCGCCGGAAAATTAGGAAATACTTGGATTTTGTAAGCGAAAGGTGCCTCATCCAACCCGCTGTTCGAATGCGTAAAATCTTGTAAGAACTGCACCTTCCTCCTGATCAAATGGCCGGAGACTAACTTAATAAACTGTACCAGACTAAATACAATCTGTCAATCTGCTAGGTATTAGGACGTAAACCTGGTATCGGGTCGTCGTGGCCGATGTTGCCCCGCTCGTAGAAATCCGAATTCATTCCTCAATTTGCAGCAGCATCTTCAGCACCTTCCGACTGCTACAGAACAGAGCACAAACTTCAGTATGGTGTCCTCGACGTCCATTCTCGCCATGGTGGCGGCCGTTGCCACGACTATCGACTACGTGCAGGCCCACGGCTACATCGCCAAGCCTGAGCCTTCGTGGAAGGACAAGAAGACGAATGACTGGGTGGTCGAGATCGAGCCCCAGTGGAAGGGTGGCTGGGACGAGTCCAAGGGCGACGAAGGTCTCCTGGCCACGTTCAAGGAGCTGTCGGCCGCGAACAACTATAAGGATGTTCGCAGTCTGATGGACGGAAACCCCGTGTACGGCGAGGACTGCGGCTTCACGGACCCCAAGGGAAAGCCTGTGGCTCCTCCTACCGACGGCACGGCCACCTTTTCCCGAGGCATTGTGCACGCTGGACCTTGTGAGATCTGGCTGGACGACAAGATGGTGCTGCAGAACGACGACTGCCAGAGCGCCTACGGTGATGGCACCCAGGAGACGATCGCCGTGTTCAAGCCCGTGGACTACTCTTCGTGCGCCTCGGGCGGCTGCATGCTGCGCTTCTACTGGCTGGCGCTGCAGCGTCTCGACGGCAAGACGGTGTGGCAGGCTTACAAGAACTGCATCCCTCTGACCGGCCCGGCCGGCGGAGGCGCCTCGCAGACCACGCCGTCGACTGGCGATGGCTCGAACACTTCGCAGACGTCTCCGTCCACCGACGACGGCTCGAACGTCTCACAGACTTCCCCTTCCACTGGCGAGTCAGACTCGCCTGCGTCCAAGGACAAGGGTGACTCGGACTCGCCGGCCAGCAAGGACAATGGAGACTCGGAAACGCCGTCCAGCGGCGACTCCCCATCGACGGGTGACTCTCCGTCGACTGGCGACAACTCGCAGACACAGACCACGCCGACCCCGGAGTCGCCGACCACGTGGGAGCAGCCGCCGTCGGCCAGCACGCCCGAGATGACGCCGGCCCCGAGCAGCAAGTGCAACGGCCGTCGCCGCCGCCACTAGACTCCGAGAGGAAGGAGTGACAAGCTATATACGTGAGTATTCGTTCGGGCGATAGATCGACCTCGAAGATAGAGGTCGTGCCTGCGTGTCGTACGTGCTGAGAGAGCGCAACACGCTCAATTGGCACCTAACAGCAAACACTGTACATGTTGTTGAAAATGGATGCTTCATTTTTCAATTGAGTGTCGCCGCATTTTCACGCTTTTGTTGATCTTTTGGTGAGCTTTCAAAGTCTTGAGGCCATGGCAACGGTCTGCTGTACAGGACGAAGGTGCGACAAACACGATTTTACATGCGCAAAACCGGCCGTTAGTGGACCCTACAGACACACTTCAGTGTACTGTAAAGGCCCTCATGGCTACATGTACCGTATTTCGCATGCAGACCAATACCGCCACTTGAGAAATACACCCTATCCTACGCCAATCAGTGCTCAGAATGCTGAAGCATGCGAATCGCATGTTGAGATACCTGTCATTACTTCAGAATACTGACATATATTTTTCAAAATTATGGCTCCGGCGCGTATGCGTTAGTGTGGCACCAGCATCGCCGCGCCACACGAACGCCCTCCGCGCCGGCATCACCAGCAGTACTAGCCGCATGTTGAGTCTGGTGCGGAAGACACTGTGGACTGAATCCTACCAAGTGAGCGCACCCGCATTTTGTGCTGGATACGGATGCGTTCCTGGAAGCTACAGTAGCTTCCGAATAAATAACTGTATTGCAATTTTTACGGTATTGTTTCATGGCAATAACTTATTTTTACTCCTTTCTAAAACAATACAGTTATTTTATTACAAATGTTGTTGTAAATACTTTTATACCCCATGGGGTTCTATTGCAACCTGCGTAATTACACATCGCTTCGATTGACTGGTGGTGGACGCGGTGTCCACGAGCTCTAGCTAGCGCCCACACTGTTCCCGGGGGCTGCCACGGCTCGCGTTTTGCAGAGTACACTTCTAAACTTACCAAGAAGCCCAAGACCAATCACCACTACCAACTCTACTATGTCGCTCATCAAGTTCTCCAGCAAGAGCATCTGCACCTACTTCTTCAAGGTCGTCGTGGACGAGGCCAGCCAGCCCACCGATTATTTCCGCTGTCAATGTGGCACCGTGCGCAAGCAGGCCCGGGGGACGGGCTACAGCAACCTACTCAACCATGTCCGCAAGGAGCACCCCGACTACGCCACCACCATGGCCGCAAGCGCTCGCTCAGGAGCGCTGACGATCTTCGTGGACTCCAAAAGCCAAACGGTGTAGACCTGATGGTCGAGTGCAACCTCCCCTTCTCGTTTCCTGAGAATGCGACGGTGCGCAAGTACATGGCGATCCCCTCCATTTGCACGGAGACATTCTTGAAGTACATGCGCCTCGTCTGCGGAGAGGTAGAGAAAGACGTGACCGAAGCTCTTCCTGCCAAGTTTGGCATCGTCTTTGACGGGTGCACCTTCAAGTCGGAGCAGTACGTCGGCGTCTTCGCCGTCTTGCTGCACGACAACCGAGCCGAGACTGTGCTGCTCGCCATGGCCCCTATTGTTGACGATGAGGTCGAAGACCATACGGCGGAGAGCCATGTCGCGTTTTTGTCGACCGTTCTCGGCTTTTTCAATCGCACGACTAACGACATCATCTACGTGGTCGGTGACAACTGCTCGACCGACGGCAAGGTGTCGACATTGCTTGGTGTTCCGCTAGTCGGATGCGCCAGTCATCGCCTTAATCTGGCAGTGACTGCGTTCATGGGAAAACATGAGAAGGAGCTGGAAAAACTCCAAATGTTGATGCGTAAGTTGCGCACACTGAATGCTGCTGCGAGGCTTCGGTAAGTTTTGCTTATGTTTTCGCTGTTTTCAGTATTTTATTTTCCTCTGTTTTTGGTATTTTATTTTCCGCTAAAATTTCTGTACTTTATTTTTGCAGGAAGTACACCAACCTTCGACCTGCCTTACGCCAGGAGACACGCTGGTCGTCAACCTTCAAGATGGTGTCTCGGTTCTTCGAGCAGAAAAAGTTTCTGGAGGCTGACGACGATCTGTCTGAGCTGCTGCCGACGCGTCGCGAGATGAAGGAGCTAGAGGCTCTACTGGAGCAGCTCAAAGATTTTGAGAGTGCGTCCAATATGCTGCAGCACCAGAACGGCGTAACGCTCTTGGACGTTTGCGATATCTTCGACGAACTGATCGCCATCTACCCTACGGTCTCTAACTACCTCGACGCAGACGCGGATATTGTCAAGAACCCCGAGTTCGAAGCCGCATGCGTCGCTGCATTGCGCACCGGGGCCGAAGAGATCACTGCGAAGCAGCGCAAGCTGCTTGAGCCGTTTGCAGTTCGTATCGATGCCAGCCAGCCGGAGGACTCGCAGACAGCGAAGATGGGCTTTGCGGACCGCGTGATGAAAAAGCGGAAGATCGAGCACAAGCAGCAGGCGACATTCCCCGCCGTCAAGTTCGTCCCGCCAACCTCGAACTGCGTGGAGAGGTTCTTCAGTCGCGCTAAGCATACGCTCTCGCACCATCGCCACGGGATGCTGCCAGTGAACCTCGAGGCAGTTCTCTTTTTGAAGGAGAATAGGCGCTTTTGGGGCGCCAACACGGTAGTGAAGGAAGTTAAGTCGACTTCGCAATAAACGGTTTGGAAAGCTGGTATTTTACCAGTATTGACCGCTGACAAACAATAACTTATTGTTAAGGATGCAAGCATTTGACGCAGTAATTTATTTGTAGAGCCTACGTCCGTAAATTTGAGACGGTATTATCGGAGGGTCTGAAGCTACTGTACTATATAATGCTCTGAGCTTCGCCTAGCACTCTACCGTCAAGAGCTCTTGCGATATTCGCCAATGGAATGGGGCGTCTGATGCTGCCAACAAGAGACTAGCAGCGCGCGCGACCTGCCAAGGCTTAGTTGTACTCTTCCGACATGGCGTTCGCAACCATGGCGCCCGCACTCGCACTGCGAGGCTCGCAGCGACGCTCGTCACCAGCATTTGGAATGGATCCATTTGTCGGAAAATGATTCTAAAAATAGAGTGGGCTGAAGCATCAACTCCGCAAGGGTACCTACCCCTTGAAGCATGGGGTGTACAGACTAGAGCGTGAGAACGAGACGCCTGATATATCCGGATTTAACAGGGAATCATATGTGGCAGACACCACTTTATGTATTTCACATTGAATCTAATACCTGATTTCATCGGTAAAAACGGGTATTAGTTGTTACCCGTCTCGTTCTCACGCTCTAGTCTGTATTGCTCTACATGCGAAATACGGTACCACCACTCCAGATACAGCCCAATCTTCAGTGGAAAGCTGATTATTCACACTGTCCGAAGAGTAGACACCTCCTTCTTAATCGACGTGGACTAAATTGCTAGCCTTTAGCGGTGTGCTTCGACCCCTGCTGCTCTAGCGACCTCATTCCAGAATCTGCCGCGTCCCTCGCTTCCAGTTCCTTCCAGTTTCGCAATGATGTCCCCAGCATCCATCCTGGCCGCGACTTTGGCTGTCGCTCTGTCCGTCAATACTGTGCAAGCTCACGGCTACGTTGAGAAACCCGAGTCTGAGTTCAAGGACAAGATATCATCGGAGTGGATTGTTCAGATCGACCCGCAGTGGAAGGGTGACTGGGATGGCGCCAAAGGAGACGAAGGACTCGTGGCTCTTTACAAGGAGCTGAAGGACTCCAACAACGCGAAGGACATCCGCACTCTGCTTGACAGCGACACGAAGCTCTACGGTGCCAACTGCGGATACACCAACCCAGACGCCACGCCAGAGGACCCTCCTACCGATGGCACCGCCACCTTCTCCCGTGGGATTGTGCACGCCGGACCTTGTGAGATCTGGCTGGACGATAAGATGGTGCTGCAGAACGACGACTGCCAGAGTGCGTACGGTGATGGCACTCAGGAAACGATCTCGGTCTTCAAACCCGTGGACTACTCGTCGTGTGCATCGGGCGGATGCATGTTTCGTTTCTACTGGCTGGCGCTGCAGCGCCTCGACGGCAAGACCTACTGGCAGGTGTACAAGAACTGCATCCCGTTGTCGGGCCCCGCTGGTGGAGGTGCTTCTCAGTCCACGCCGTCTGCTGGCGAAGGCTCGAAGAATTCGCAAACGACCACTTCACCGCCCTCCCCGTCGAGCGGTGAATCGGACTCCCCTTCGACGGAGACGACTCCAGCGCCTGAGGCCCCTTCGGTGGATTCGCCGGAGGTGACACCGGCTCCTAGCAGCAAGTACAATGGGCGTCGGAAGCGCAACTACCGGCATCCCTTTGTCATCACATACTGCTTGTTATGACATACAGGCTAATATTAGCCAATCAATGGTATTTTCACCTGAGCACTTGTTATGGCATACGGTAGTGTATTTGGTTAACGTCGTCGCCAAAGATAAGTGTAAAGTTCGAGCAACATTAGAGCACCATTCTAGTAACATATGAAACGGCGTTTGATAAAACTGCTCGCAGCACCACGCCGACAATGGAGCGTGGGGCAGATGTCGAAGCCATCGTGGCCTTGATGGAGAGCGAGTTGGGGCCTTCTTCTAGAAAACAAGATTCTTCAGCCCGTGCGAAATTCAACACCTTCTTGAAAAAAACACGTAGACACCAATCTGACTATGGAGACGCTGAGGGCAGCACAGGTCACTAAGGAAATGCTTGGTAAGCTCCTTACCTTTCTGTTCAATGATCCTGACATCCACTGGCAAACATCGATGAACTATCTGAGCTCTATCAAGAGACAACTGGAGGAGAAAACGGGAACGGACCTGTTCCGCAGTGACCCCGAGTGGTATCGGCGTTGCCGACGCCATTTGCAAAAGCAATATCTCATGCTTGCCATCTCTGAAGGCAAAAAGCTGAAGAACCAAGCTCCACCCATGACAATTGATGATCTTCGCTCAATATCAACCACACTATTTCTCAAAGACGATAAGAAGGCGCTACTCGACCGCACTCTTCTTAACAACCAGTGGCTTGCAGTTGGTCGTAGCTCCGACGTAGGAATGCTACACTTTACGGACTTGCACTGGCATGGTAATTTTCTTCTCATTGATCTGACACGGTACGTGCATATACTTTGGCTTTAGCATTGTAATAAATAATTGACCTGTGTGCTGCTTCAATTGCATCAAGGTGCAGCAGCAACAGACATCTCAATTTTTTGCTCTCCGATTTGCTGGAGCATCGATCCCTTTCACACGTTGGCTTCTCAGCTGGTTGCTGACCCATACAATGCCTCGCCGCGTGTGTTCTCGCAAGTGACTGAAGCTACAACAGACGAGCGTGTGGCTGCATACATTAATCGAGTGTTAGAATCGGTGTATCAGTACGACACAAAGCGAGAGCTGACGCAAAGCCTACAGTCACACTCAGCGCGTCGAGGTGGCGCAGCGCATGCAAGCTCCAACGCTAGCGTCAACCTGGCTGATTTGGCCCATCGGGGGCTCTGGTCCATGGATGGATTTGCTACCTTACTCGAATACATATCGCCGACGACGGCTAGCGACCAGAACGTTGCAAAGGTGCTCGGAGGGTGGGTGGACACAAAGCAGGCTGGTCACCCGCCTACGCTTGCCTGTTTCGAAAAAGAATCACATCAGACATTCACAAGGGTCAGTACATTTGCTCAAGCACTACGGTTGCTTCACTTCTCCAAGATTGCACCGAAAGGTTTCGCGGACTGTCTTACCGCGACTCTGCTGATGTACTACCGCGACACGCTTGCTGTCGCACCGCAACACATCGTCCACCAAGAACTGGAGCGGGTACATTCCACTCTGCACTCGCAGCTTGAATGTCAGGATGAGCTGCTTGACTGGGGAAGCAAGATTCGCAAACGCTTTGTCACCGACAACATCCTTTCACTTCCGATACAACATGTTAGAGACAGACTTACAATCCAGGAGCAAGCAGAGCAGTTTGTTGGATTCCATACCTTTGCCGAAACGCTGGAACGGCTACTCATAGGACACCAGCAGCTGGTGACCTCCAATGAGGAGCTCAGGAGCATGCTACATCTTGTGCTTCGACGGCTTGATCGTCAACCAGAAGGCAACGCTTCCTCCACCAATGCGACGGAAGGTAGTCCAGATGCTGAAGTTTCTGGCGGGCTCTCATTGCGATCCCTCAGCTTGGTAAGGCGTGGCCCACTAGCTTGACGAAGCTGAAGGGTAGGCATCTCTCCGATGTTCTCGTCCAGTTCTACACAGAAGGCCTGGGTTCTATTCCAAAGGAACGAGGAAATCGCGGGCAGAAGGATTGCCTTCGAGCTGTTAAAATCGTTGCCTACGTTGCCGACTTAGCCAGCATCCCACCAGTTCCTGCATTATCGCGAGAGGTGGACAGGGTTCAATGGGTATCTGCAATGAAAAACATGGCAAGTCAGTGCGAAACAGTGTTAGTCAATGGTTTTACCAAAGCTGCTGATGCAAAAGAAGGAACACAGCGCAAGCGCCGTCGCTCTGGAAAACTTACCGGCCTGGGGTGAGCTAACTGATCAGCAGCGGGCGGCGTTTCGCTCACTACCGCGTATCCGGTTCTTAGCAGCATGAGTGAGATAGTTGGAGGCCTCTTGGTCAAGTTGGGATTACACAATGCATATGTAACTTGAATACACGTCATGCCACCTTCGATGCACCAGAGCACCACCAGCTTCAACGACATGAGCACCGCCAGATCGGAGTGCACCACGAGCTCCGAAAACAACGCTGCATCCGCGAGCACCACAGACTAATTCCGAGAGCAGCACGAGCTCGGAGTGCCCCATGAAGTCTGACAGCAGCCCGATCTCCAGGAGCAGTACGAGCTCCAACTGCGCCATGAGCTGGGAGAGCAGTACGAGCTCCAAGTGCGCCATGAGCTGGGAGAGCAGCACGAGCTCCAAGTGCGCCATGAGCTGGGGGGCAGCACGAGCTCCAAGTGCGCCATGAGCTGGGAGGGCAGCACGAGCTCCGAGTGCGACATGAGCTACACGAGCACCACTGAGGCCACGAGCACCACAAGCTCCAAGAACATCGCACGCCCCGTGAGCACCAACAAGTCCGCAAGCACGACCGAGCCCACGGCCACCACCAGCTACATGAGCCCACCAGCTCCGAGTGTACCTCGATCTCCGAGAGTCCGAGAGCACCGACGAGTTCGCGAGCACCACAGAGTCCACGAGCACCAACGAGTCCACGAGCACCACCGAGATCACACCCACAACCATCCACATGAGCCCCTCCAGCTCTGTGTACACCACGAGCGAGCTTCGAGATCACCACGAGCACCACTGAGTAACGTCCGCGAGCGCCACCGAGTCCAAGAGCGTCACTAACTGCACGAGCACCACCACGTCCGCGAGCCCCGCAAAAACTCCAGCTCCGAACGCATCACCAGCTATATGAGCACCACCAGCGAGTCTGCGAGCACCAACAAGAACATGAGCGCCACGAGTCCACGAGCACACCAACTATAAAGCCACCCACCATCTCCTCAAGCGTCACCGAGTCTGCGAACACCACCAGCCCCGAGAGACAGCACCGAGTCTGCGAACACACCGAGCCCGCGAGTGTGAGCCGCCTCCTCTTCCTTGCTGTGGTCAGTCCCTTCCTATTTTCTTTTTCAGCCAATCCCAGCTTCGGGACGAAGTTACTGGGGGTACGAATATCCAACTATAGTTTATCCAAGTGTACACGAGCCGCCAAATGTAACCACTACAGTCAAACCTGTTTATATGAGGCCCTGTTGGTGACCATCTACTACAATGACTCATATAAATGGACTCAGTTAAAAACAATTATGTGATGCACGTAAAGAAATCGTGCATAGTTCGCTGCCGCTTTGCCTTCACCGTAGTCTCTCGAACCAAAGCGGTCACGGTCTGTAAAGCTCTTCGATCTCTGTCAGTCTGCTCTCCGCATTGCAGCAGAAATGCAGCCAGCTCCATGCAGTGTCTCAGAGCAATGGCAGGTTGAACTGCGGGTTCCTGTTCCTCCTCTTCCTCCTGCTCGTCCTGCGAAACTGCATCACTTCCTGCCGCTTCGTCCACTAGCACATCTGGCTCGTGCACAGGAACGTCTTCGTCCACTGCCAGATACTCACTAGCGCTAACAGCGCCCTCCCACCTCGATAGCATCGCCGTTAACTCCTCCATCTCGTTGCTGGATACCTCCTCAATGTAATCCGTGTCAGCACGGGTCCTTCCTAGCATCTTTCCTCCCAAAATGCGAGTCTTGACCCAGCAATTTGTAATTGTCGTTGGCGTCACACCCGCCCAAGCATCAATGGAGAATTGGACAGCTTCCAGTACGTTGAGCTTGCGTGTAATGTTAGCTTCAAGTGCATCCAAACACCACCGCACAAAATACTTTCGGTACCAAGCCTTGAACGACCCGATAATACCTGAATAAAAAAAACACCGTAATAGAGTTGGTTAGTTTAGGCTACACCACAATATAGATAAAATATTTACCTGCATCCAGCGGCAGTACGGCGGATGTCATGTTAGGAGGGAGGAAGTGAACAGTCACATGAGTCAGGTTTCGTAGAATCTTGTGGCATGAAGCATTGTCGACTAGAAGTAGGACCTTGCGATTGGCGGCCGCCATTCTCATGTTGAAGAGGTGCAGCCATTCGTCAAAAATGACGGATGTCATCCAGGCGTCCTTGGAGGACTTGTACAATATAGATTTACCTTTAATCGCCGCTCCCTTTTTAAAGCACCTCGGGTTCTTGGCCGTACCGATGACTATTGGGTCGAGCTTGTCGGAGCTAGTCGCGTTGCAGTAGAAGGCCAAAGTCAAACGTTGCTTCTCCTTTTTCTTGCCCTTGCGATAATAGTCGTAGCTAGCGTTCGATTAGGCGCTAAGCGATAGAAAAGCGCCGTTTCGTCAAAGTTGAACACATTCTTGGGTGTAAACTGCGCCACCAACTCTTGTAGCTCTAGCCTCGCATCTCGCACTTCATCAGCTTCTACAGCGCCACCTTCGCCGTGTAGCGTATGGGAGCGGATCCCATTGCGCTTCTTAAAGCTTGGAAGCCAGCCGTTGCTTAGCCGGAGCTGCGTGGCATCGATGCCTAAGCGCTCCGCCAGCTCATGCGCCTTCAGCAGGAGCACGTCGTCCGCCATCGCCGTTTTAGCTTCGTTCAGAAAGAAAAATTCTCTCAGTTCCCGCTCGAACTGAGGGAATTTCACTCGGCGCCGCTTGGTCGCACTCAGGTCGACGTGGCTGAAGTAGGAAGAAGGCAGGTTGCGCAGTCGGGCGAGTGTGGCACGGCTGACCCGGGCCTTGAAAGTTGCGTAGATCCACTCGGCGAGCATGGGGTTGTTCATGCCAGGATTCTGCTAGAGCTTTAGGTGCGCTTGGAGCTTTTGTTCTAGCGTCAGACAGGTGCGAGGAGACATGGCGAGCGAAGAAGGCTTGCGGTGTTGAGCAGTGGTGCTTTGAAGAGTGTGTGGCCGTGAGCAGTGTGAATCAAATAAACAGGTGAGACCTAATTTGGTCCCCCAAAATGTGACTCATATACCTTGTATGCATATAAAAAGAGATCGTACAAAAACTAAGTGAAATATTTGGTAGCGACAAAGCCTGCATCAAATAAACGGCATGGCTCAAATAGAGAGGATCATATAAACAGGTTTGACTGTATCTTCGGCCGAGTTTTGATGTTGTGCAGGGGCCGAAGTTAAGGCGAAGATAGGCGATACAGGCGCTCCTCGCCTACTACCAATTATTACGCTCAGTTGCGGACTGACTCGGGCGGCCTCGCCTGCCAGGCGGAAAGAGGAGGAAGCATTACTCGGTGACATCGTCACCGGCTGCAGAGAAGGTCGAAGTTTTTGACCACCTCGTAAGCACGGCAACATCCGTACCACCAATGGTGGTCCATCATCACTCTACACTACCCAACCGAACGTTCACCCAGAGCTGGAAGCGCGGACACGCCAGCACCGAGCTGCTGTACGCAGCTCCAAGCGGAGCCGACAAGCGAAAAGCCCAGACGATGGTATTGCCACCGCTCGGTAAGGACAGATCATCGCTAAAATTGCTGCGGAGTTTGAGGAAGAAGTGTATCTAAGGGCAATAGAGATCGGATACAACGCCAGTCAAACAGGCGACTGAGCTTATTGTCTACTTGCCGTAGTTAAGGCAGTAGTTCAAGCTGATAACTTCGACGAAGAGTTTTACAGATAAATAGATGCACAGGCTTGCCTTGCATTGCTCCAAGTGTAGATCGAGTTTCAGCTTGTTAGTGAGGTTAGGGTAAATAGGTGTAGGTGGGTTGTATGTGATGACAAAGGGATGCCGGTAAGTGTTGAGCGCCAAATGTGCGTGAGTAAGTATCCGTGTATCCTCAACTTAATCAAGGCTTTTTGAGAGCTCAACGGGTTTGTTAAACAAAGCCAAACAAACTTTGTTTGACTTTGTTGAGAAATCCCGCAAGGGATAGGCCGGCCCTGTGATACTTTTCAGTAGGATCGCTCCGCGCTTCGCTTCGTGGCCACGATGGTGAGTGAGTGCAGTCGAAGAACAGCCAGGCAGTTGAGCGTCAAACTTACTGTACCGATACATAGTCCGTTGATACAGCAGTCGAAGTGCGTCTTCTCCAACGCTGCTGGAAGGCAAAGTGCTGGAGACCATCCGGCCATGTTGCGCTGGGTCTTCTTGCCCACGAACAACTGGCGCGTCCGGCAATCGAACGACAGAGCGCTTCTACATGTGCAGAAGCGCCCGCCGGAACGAGTTGCGTAGCTTGCGGTGGGGATCGTCTCCGACTTGATGCACACTCTCCGTTGCTAACAATGCCGTATGGCCGCAAGGCAGGGGCGCATCCCACCGCTCGTTGGTTCTGCTTGAAGCGAAAAACTTGGCAAAGCCCAAACTTAATCAAAGAGGACTGTAATAAAGTAGAGATGCTGAGGGTTAATTTGCCAGCTCTCGACGATCTGCCATCGCGAAGTTGCTACAGTATTATAACATCGCGCATGGGTTCGGCTTGACGTAAACGCCAGCGTATTGTCGCTCCCAAAAGCCATTCTCCAATTTGCGGCAGCAGCTTCACCACCTCTCGATCGAACTTTGAAACCTTAAAATGGTGTCTTCGACGTCTTTAGCCGCCGCGGTTGCGGCTTTCGCCATGGCTGCCGAAACTGTGCGGGCCCACGGCTATATGGACAAGCCTCTTGCCCCCTTCAAGGACAAGAAAACCTCGGAGTGGGTCGTGGAGATTGACCCGCAATGGAAGGGTGACTGGGACGCAGCCAAGGGTGACGAGGGCCTCGTGGCCCTCTACAAGCAGCTCAAGAAGGCCAACAACGTCAAGGACATCCGCACGATGATCGACAGCGACACCAAGCTCTACGGCGAGGACTGCGGCTTCACCGACCCCAAGGGAAAGCCTCAGGACCCGCCCACCACCGGCGATGCGACCTTTTCCCGTGGCATCGTGCACGCTGGACCTTGTGAAATTTGGCTCGACGATAAGATGGTGCTGCAGAACGACGACTGCCAGAGCGCCTACGGTGACGGTACGAAGGCAACACTCTCGGTCTTCAAGCCTGTGGACTACTCGTCGTGCGCGTCCGGAGGTTGCATGTTCCGCTTCTATTGGCTGGCGCTGCAGCGTCGCGACAGCAAGACGTACTGGCAAGTGTACAAGAACTGCATCCCTCTGACCGGCCCAGCTGGAGGAGGCGCCTCGCAGAGTACCCCGTCGACTGGCAGCGGCTCCAGCACCTCGCAGACGTCGCCCTCGAGTGGTGCATCGGACTCGCCTTCCAGTGGTGACTCGGAGTCGCCTTCCAGTGGTGAATCTGAATCCCCCTCAAGCGGCACTTCGGATTCTCCGTCAAGTGGTGATTCGGACTCTCCGTCTAGCGGTGAATCTGAGTCGCCTTCGAGCGGTGAATCAGAGTCGCCCTCGAGTGGCGAATCGGACTCCCCGTCTAGCGGTGAATCAGACTCTCCTTCGAGCGGTACGTCGGACTTGCCTTCCAGCAGTGAGTCTGAATCCCCTTCGAGCGGAGAATCGGACTCCCCGTCGACGGAGACGACCCCGGCGCCCGAGTCGCCGTCGGTCGACACCCCCGAAGTTTCTGCGGGCAAGTGCTCCATTCGCCGCAGACGCCACTAAACTCGCCGAGCGCGTGTGCGTCTTCAACGTGACTACCCCGTAGCAAACTTGGTCGTTGATGTCTCGAATCAGAGTGTCGTAATATACATGTAAATTTGGATATTTTCCTGTCAAACTTTTTCATTGCTTTCGGTAAATTTCTCGAAAACCAAAAACTGGGTTAGTGTGGGATCTTTGAGTCACTGGGATGCACACAGGTGCTGTACTCGAGCCTGTACTGTAGAGACCAAGGGAGTGCCAGCGCTATCCGCGGCTGTTTACTGGGTGAAGTGGTCGATTAGATCCTTTGTGGTGGTCGCAGCAGGGAGAGTACCATCTCGCCCGTCCGTCCGACGCGGTCACTACGAGGCCAGGAGTCCTCACTTTCGCTTTTGCAGCATCGCGCGTAACACCTCAACCCGCAGTCTTCTTCTTCTCCTCGCCGATGATGTCCAGTACCGCCATCTTGTCCGTCGTGGCCGGCTGCGTCGCTTCGCTTTCCCAGGTCAGCGCCCATGGCTACATGTACATCCCGCTGGCCGAGTTCACGGACTCGGTTACGTCGGCCTGGATCGTGCAGATCGAGCCTCAGTGGACTGGCGACTGGGACAGCTGCAGCAGCAGCGATGACGACTGCTTGACGACGCTGTACGCATTGCTCAAGGAGTCGAATGGCTACAGCGACATCCGCACGCTGCTGGACAGCGACACCTCGCTGTACGGAGCTGACTGCGGCTTCACCAATCCGGATGCTTCGCCGAAGGATCCGCCCACCACCGGCGACCCGACCTTTTCTCGTTGCATGGTGCACGCGAGCCCTTGCGAAATATGGCTGGACGATACGATGGTGCTGAGCAACGATGACTGTCAGACTGCGTACGGGGACGGCACTCAGGAGACGGCGTCGGTGTTCACGCCGGTGGACTACTCGTCATGCTCGACCAGCGGCTGCATGCTGCGCTTCTACTGGTTGGCGTTCCAGGGCGTTGATAGCAAGATGGTGTGGCAGGTGTACAAGGACTGCGTACCGTTGACGGGCCCAGCTGAAGGCACCGCCAGCACCAACTCAACGTCCTCGACCTCGGCCACTGCCAGTTCTTCCACCACGGACAGCTCGTCCACGCAGGATACCCCAGCGTCGAGCAACAGCGGCACATCGACGGAAACCGAGGCTCCTAGCACGGATGCTCCGGAAGCCACGGCGGCTCGGATGAAGCTAGTACGGAGACGGCACCGGAGGCGCCTGCCTCGACGCCGTCCCCGTCGACGAAGTGCAACGCCCGCAAGCGCCAGTAAAAATTGACCGCGCTTGGTCCTCAATGTAGTGAACGTGTTGATAGCGTCGGGAAGAATCCGTAGATGCGAGTTCCAGGTTTTCATTCATCAGACCGGGTATCGTGTCTCCACTTGCGATGAGACTCAATCCAAACTTCAGGCAGACGAAATCTTCGCACCACTCTATTCCTCAACATTGCCCGGGCTGGGATTTCCCAAGGCTTCGAAGTCCGTTCAAATACCAAGCTGTGCTAACTTGAGAAGGGCTTCCAAGGGCACTCGCGAACTCAAGACGCCCGCTGCACACCTATCACACCACCCCTTCGGCCGTGGCCTCGCTCCTGATGCCGTACTAGTTGATAGTGGATAAGTTCCTTTTTGCACTATCAAATTCCTCTTCAATGTGAATCCATGGTCCACACGTATTTTCTTTCGCCCGCGTCTTTGCTGGAAGTGAGTCAGCTCATTGGAAAGCCGCGCCGGTGCATATCGCCAGGCAACATTGCCCGCCGTCGCTAACGAAAATGCGGGACCCAGAGCGAGGAAGCTTGTGTGCCTTGTCGTCAGGTTTTTCGGTGCAGTTTCGTGACGAACAGCGCCTCGAATAGCTGATGTAGGCCAAAGGGGGGTCACACCGACAGATAACTCGGCGTCAAGCGCGGCAGGCAGCACGTTTTAACCCTCTGACGAGCACGCCCGCTTCCAAAGCCGCTGAGCCCCGCCGGTCCCACTGCCACAACTGCCGCCCATGGGGCAACCTCGTCAAATGCGACACCTCCGCTGGCCCTCAGACAGCGCTGGAGCCGACCTTCCGACAGCGCGAAGCTGTAGACGAGCTCATGGAGGTCGGACCTTCGGCCACTTCGCGCATCTTTGCTTGACAACGAACACGGGATCCATCGAAACGAAATCACCGGTCTCGACAACACCATGTCCGGTCTCAACGGCGTTGAGTCAACGCGAAGCGCTCCAAGTATCCCGACAGCTTGCCCGCGAGCGCGACCTGAGGTACATGTATGAAGCAGCATCAGCGAGCGAGGGGAGAGCGCAGAGGCCGCGGGTGAGAGAACCCAGACCAAGCCAGGGCGACGCCGGCGAGCGACTCGAACGCACTGGATTTCTTTTCTTGTCAGAGCGAGCGACTAGAAGCTCGCTCGCCGACCGTAGAAACGTACCCACAGTGCAAGCAGCGCATTTTCGCATCGTCTTTGAGGGCAACAGCCGGGGAACGGACGCCCCGCGAGCGGAGAAATGGCGTGCGAGGCATCACGCGCGAGTAATTTGCGCTCGTAAACACTCTGCCGGTGGCCCATTGCAGGCGAGCACTCCACCGAAAGGTCCTAGCTTCGAAGCCTTGGCGCTGTGTTGCCGCTGTGCAGCTCGTCCCTTGCAAGTTGCGGCAGTTGCAGCGCGCGTTGCTGGCAGATTCCGCCGCGCCTTCTCTCGACAAACCAGCGCCCGCAGCCACTTGATCGCTGGACGCAGCGCTGGCCCCACGCGAAAGGGGCTTCTTCTACGAAAACCACATCATCTTCGGTGCGGGGCCAGGTGGTTGAGGCTTGGCGCTTTGCCTGCCTTTTGCAGAGCTTCCATTACACTTCAGGAGCAAATGTTGCGGTCCACAAAATGAGGTCGACCGCATTGTCCTTCGTCGTCGGCCTGCGAGGCCGCGAAGCCCTCCAAAGCGTACACTGGGGGCTGGACACAACGCAGCAACGGCGCGGGCGCTGCTCACCGCGGGCTTGACGCTGTCCATTAGCTGGCAATGCACGCCAAGTTGGCGTAAAATGTTGCCAAACTTTTTTTTAGCGAGCTTATAGTTAGAAAACAGTTCGTTGTAGGAAGCACACTGCTACTTTTGAATTTGACAACAGTAGCAGATTGTATACCGCACGCCAGACTAAGACTCTCTTCAACCGTGGATCCTTGAACTGCGGGGGATGGCAGGGTACAGGTTTGTCGTACAGTATCCGTTCTTCTTCGTGCGTTCGCGAGGCGCGAGAGCCACTCATCAGCCCATTTGTTGGTCAGCGGCGCCACGCAGAGACTTTGAATCAGACGCGCGTCAAGGTCATCCGCGCTGCCCCCACTTGCAGCTTTGCCACGCGGGACTCGGACGACCGACCGACGGCTCGTCCAGCGCAGCATTTGCGCTTTTTGAGTCGGGACCCAAGGGCTCGGTGAGTAACCAGCCTATTATACCAGCCACAAGTTGTGGCCCACAACAGCCACAGCAGCAGCACCACCACAGCACGCCAGGCCCCCAAACCGCGGTGAACGACACCTGCTGGCGTGGAACCGAAAGTAGAAGCGCCAGGAGGGGGCTCAGTGAGCTGAGCACCTCAAGTACAGGCTCCGTTGTGAACCTGGGTGGAACGGCCTTCGTGCAGTCGAGGCGAGTGAAGCTACACTACACAACGCACCACGCTACACGAGCGAGCAAGAAGACTTTGGTCGCACAAAGAAAAGGGCGAGGCGAACACGACGCCTCGACGTGCAGAGTCGTGGGCGCTCGCTGGACGCTCAAGATCAAGCGGGCAGCGTCTTCTTCCTCCTCCTCCAACGGGGTTCACTCTGCAGACGACGGACGGACACCATCCGCCTTTTGCTCCTCCAGCCTTTACTGCTCTACCGGTAGACGCCGCAAGCAGCTTGTGCGGGTCGGGCTTCTCCAGCTGCTGGGGACTACGGGTAGCTGGCTGTTCCAGTCTCCGTAGCACACGCAACGCCTGCTGACATAAGTCACCACCTACGCCGTGGTTGGGTCGTATTTGAAATCCTCATCAACGAGTGTGCACGTCGTCGCAACTCGGAGCGGAACCGACACATCATCATTAAGGACTTGACCGCTAAGTCACTCATGGAGCGGCGAGTAGGCGGCGGCGACGTCCAGCGAGGCGCAGCAGCAGCAGGAAATACAGGAGCGCCGGACGGCTTGAAGCTCGAGACTGCAGCAGGAGCAGGACAGGCGGCCACAACTGAGGAGAACTGGAGCGCGCTTAGTAACCTCCGCGTTGCAGGCGAAGCAGAGAGCGGCGAAGAAGCAGCAGCCGCGCAGACGCAGCCCGGCTCAATCCGGGCCAGCGCCGGCAGTAGCAGTAGGCATAAGGTTAGACGAACGAGCAGCCAAGTGCACCCGACTACTCCTCTGGACGATGATGAAGCCATGCTGCATGACCTGGACGCTGTCAGCAAGTCGTCTCTGAGCTTTATTCTGGACGACCAGGCGGCTTCGGCGGCTGCCGGTAAGCGGATACGTACTACTTCGTTTGTCTTGCGAGGCTTCGACGTTATGAGACTGAGTGTCTTTGCGCGCTACTGGTATTCGCTAGGTGACGACTTCACATCCGGAGGCAAACGAGCCGCCGCGTTGATCACCAGGAGCAGGAGCACAGGAGACTTGACGGGTGACACGCCAGCTAGCGGCCGCAGCGCTCGAGCTGCTGCTGGAGGCAAGCAAGGCGCCGATGGAAAGCGCCGCGCGCGAAGACCGCCGAGCCGCATCTGCAAGCACGAAGGCTGCGAGCAGTACGTGGTGGACCAAGGGCTTTGCGTTCGACACGGAGTACGTACAGCGCTTCTTTTAAAGTCGACGTTACTGTTGAGGGGAGCGATATCGAGTCTGACGCGTCTTGCATTGAGCAGGGGGGCAAGCGTTGCTCTACCGAGGGATGCACCAGTCGGGCGAAGCACCAAGGGCGTTGCTGGAGACACGGTAAGCTTGACTGATACTCAGTCATTGCGTCGTCAAATGAGATTCAGTGGTCTAATACTAGCGCGCGGCGGTTGTCTATTCCGTTTCGGTCGGGAGCAGGTGGTTCGACCGAGTGCAAGGTTCCGAGCTGCATTAATCGTGCCAAGTCGCGCGGCTTCTGCTGGTCGCATGGCGGCGGCACCAAGTGCAAGTTCGATGACTGCGAGAAGATTGCCATCTCCAACGGGCTCTGCTGGGCTCACGGCGGAGGTGCGTGCTTTCATCTATTAGTTATTTTTCTTCATGAACTGGAGGTACACAGTTTATTTATTTATTTATTTACTAAGCATGTGTTTCGACTGATTGCAGGCAAGCGGTGCGCGGTGGAAGGCTGCATGCGGCAGGCATATGAACGCACCGACAACCTCTGCAACAACCACTACCAAGAGCGCCAGCAGGGCGCTACTGCCGGTTCCTCGCCCGGTTCCTCCGTTACCACCGTAACGGAGGAACCGGGCGAGGTCGTCGCCGCGTCGAGCATGCACCCAGACGACGAAGAAAAGCCGCCGGCGCCGTCTTCCGACCATAAGTCAAATCCCTGGACGTCCGTAGGAACATGAGTAAGGGTGCGAGTTGGCAGAATCCAGCGAAGAGCACCACAGACTTGGAAAATACGTTGAGTTAAAGCACAAATAGAGTTCGGAACGTGGCGCTGTTATTATTCGCTATACGTAGGGGGATTAATGGCACGATGAGCAATAGCTTACAACTTCAAGCTGAAGGCTCACCGACATGACGACGAGGTCCGCCAAATTTTTCCGTTCGTAGCTTATCCCTTTTGACAATCATGCTCTTTTGACAATCATGGTCGGCATGTCGTGTCCATCATGAGGATCGTCAGAGTACAGGCTCTCAGCGTTGCCGAATCGTGTCGCTGAGTCAACGCTCGCTACGGCGATTTGCTGCGTCCAACAAGCGACAAAAAGACGTCGTGCGCGGGGCCTATGTAAGCCCGCGCGAAGCTGCACGAAGCGCACTGGACGTCCCGTACACTTAGCTAGGAAACGAGAGCATGAAAAGCAAGATAAAAAAGATAGCACCACCATCCATGTTAACTCGGCTTAACTGGGCATTCAAGATCGCAAGATGCGTAGCACTTCTGTCGCATTGAGACGACGCTGCGACTACTGCTCGGTGGTCGTACTTCCACGAGTTATGCAAGTTCTGTATTTTCAGATACCTAAAAGGGTTTCCCACTTCACTCTATTGCAAGCCGCGAGGTACCAGCATATACATGAAGCTTACAGACTTGGATGCGATGCTCAACTCGGTTAAAAGTTTTGTTTTCTGGAAGGGTCCGTTCTCGTGGAACGCGTATATCCAGCACCTCGCTGCTCCTAGCCACGTGCCCGTTGGGGTAGCGTCGCAACATTAACTTCTGATAGACGTTGGAGGCGCTGAGTGACACTGGTGTCTTTCTGTAGAACTCGAAAATGTAAGCACCGTACAGGTCAGACTTGACGAGAATGACAGTGCGAAGATTGCTATTCTGACGCCCTTTCGCCGTAATTTACAGAATCCTTTATCATGTTCTTGTTGGGGAGCTCTTGCTTCAGTATGAACGAAAATCGAATAAGACTGAACTACAGCTTTCACCAATCGAGTGTCAGCAACCAAAGTTCATCTAGTAAAAGCGACAAACGAGGTCTTCGCTATCCATCGGATACGTGCAGCAAACGATGTTAAAAGGAAGGTATGGCCATGCAATTATACTCGACAGAGTATAAGTATTTATCTGCGCTGCATTTATAGACGTTGCTCCACTATTATCTGCAATCAAACCATGGAAACAACGTGCACCATTTCTGGGTCGTTTGCTCCTTCAAACAACGAGGCTGTAAGAAAGTCGAAGTATAAACTAAATAAAAGGTTTTCAAGCGTAGAATTTCTGAGGTGTGGTGGCCTATCATGGTGTAATAGTTGCAATATGTGTAGGTCACTACATCGCAATTCAACTTGGTCAAGGGCGCGTACAGACTTACTTCTCAATCGTCAAGGTTTCCCAACAAACCTAAAGTCAGCCACGCGGATGCATCGGTACCAGCGAGAACTCGGTGAAAGGAGGAATCACTGCTACGACACCGCTGTCCAACAATGTAGCTTACAGTACACGTGCAGCTACTGTACCGTAAAGAAATTCAATATAATGCCTCACGTTTTTAACGGACCTGAAACAGGATTTCCTCAAAACTCATAGAATAGTCAATGTAACTGTACATTTCACGAAAGTAATTTAAACCAATCACAACCTGTTTTGCTTACTCTCTGTCCTCCATTTTGCGATTCCTGCAGGCTGCAGCCATCTCTATCGCGATGGCCGCGTCCCGCCCCATGTTCGCTATGCTGTGCGCGAACAATGTCAACCGCAGCACAGAGGCCCATGACCACCTTCATGCGGCGGGGCTTCGCGTGTGTTCCTTCGGCGCCGGCAACCGCGTGCGCTTCCCTGGCCCGTCGCGGGACGACCCGCGCATCTACGAGTTCTTCACGCCCTACGAGACCATGTACCGAGAGCTCAAGGCCGAGAACGCCGAGCTGTACGCATCATGGCTACACGTGTCCATTATATGTTTTTGCTGAAGTAAAATGGCTACACACTCATTGTGACGACTGGTTGGTGCAGCTTCAAGCGCAACGGCGTGCTGTCCATGCTGGAGCGAGACATGCTGACCAAGAAGTGCCCGCAGCGGTGGCAGGACCTGAGCGTCAAGGAGCTGCAGGGTCTGGACGTGGTGCTGTGCTTCGACGACCGCATCTTCGAGATCGTGCTGGAGGACCTGCAGCTGCGAGGCGCGGCTGGAGGCCCAGGAGGACCTGGCAACGAGCCCACGACGGCCTGGAGGCCGCTGCATCTGCTGTGCCTCGACACGAAGGACACGCCCGAGCACGCTAAAGTGGGCGGCTCATTGGCGCTCGAACTGTGCCAAGCGGTGCGTTGGGCGCTTGGAGTGGACAAGACAGCTGAAGTTGAAGTGGAGACTGATACCTTTGACTGTGTATGTGACTGACGGACAGATCGACGTGCTCAACAGTCTCGACGACGGCATCGTCGATGCTATTCAGGACTTTGAGGCTCGGAGAAACGTGCATCTGCTGTACTCGCTGATGCACGTGTAGCGCGGTGGTAATGAACTCACGTGCAACGACTGCGTTATCAGGGGCGATTGGAGTTTGCTGCCCATTGCATTGCTCTATAACTTTACTTTTTCCACTTGCTGATGATAGATTGGCTGGCCTCGGCCTGCTGGCTCCAGCGACCAAAGTTGAAGCGTGGCCGAGGAGGAACCCGCGGCTGCTCTTCTGCGTGCTGGCTTTGAGACGGTTGGCTTTGTTGCTGGCTTTGCTGTTGGCTCAGTTGCTGGTTATTTTGCTGCTGACTTGGCTGCAGACCTCGGCGGTAGTCGTCCATGACATCAAAATCGTCGTCGTCGACATGCTGTTGTGATGTTGGCGCAGACCCAACCGATTGCCTTCGCTGACTCCATGGCACGTTTTGGGACGTAGGGTGTTGTCGGCGCTGACTCCACGGCAAGCTTTGAGATGGGGCGTCTTCGCGGCGCTGCTTGCGTTGGGAAGCATCGTCTTCTCCACGTTGCTGCTGGCTAGCGGACCACGACCGCTTTCCGAGTGGCACCTGTCGCTCTTCCGTCCCAGGTATATACAGGTCTTCAGCGAATTCGCCGTTGCTGTGGGCTTCTTCGTATTCATCGGCGCCCAGTGGAAAACTCCTGACAGGATCCGGTCGTTGCTGCGAGTAGCTTGGTGGCTGTGACTGAGATGGGACATCGTTTGCTGTGCTCAACTCCGGCAGCATGAGGTACTCGAGAACAAGCTTCTCCTGCAATGCGTACTCTTCCGCCGGATTGTCAGAGAAGTTGGAGTGCAAAACAGACTCCACGCCTCCCTCCAGCATATCCGAGCAGTTGTCCGTGGACTTGCTGACCTCCATGACAAACACAGCAATCACGGCGTCCATGACCGCCACTTCGGAGTGACACATCAATCGTGCGTGGGCTTGAGCGAGCCGTGTAAGACTCTCCAACAGGCGAATCGTTGTGCGTGCGGCGCTGCGACTGTCGGATGCGCGTTGCCGTTGGTAATAACGCTGAAGGATTAACATTGCTCCACGACTCAGTTGTGGCTGATACTTGTCCTTCACGTGGCAGATGTAAGCTTGAAGCTTCTGGACGCTCCACAGCGCTGAGTCGTCCTTGGAGGATCGTGCTCCTTGTTTGTCAACTGCCTCGAAAGACGACTCGCCTTCATCGCGTTCGGCCTCCTCTTTGATACTCGTGTTCGTGCCGACCGCCTGCTTTAAGATGAAAGAGGAGACGACCTGGTCCCATCGCGGATTCATGCGGTCCAGCAGCACGAGGATCAGATCAAACCGACTCAGCAATGGGCTCGCGATGCTGGTGTTCACAGACACGTCCGCTGTCGGGTCGTATCGGCCTTTCGGGTTCGTCACGGCGAAGATGGTGGTTCGTGCGTTTAGCTTGCATACCAGACCAGCCTTTGCCACGCTTAGCGTCTGCTGCTCCATGGCTTCGTGGATGGAGGTGCGGTCGTTGCTGCGGATGCTGCTAAACTCGTCGATGCAGCACACGCCACGATCTGCTAGCACCAGCGCGCCAGCCTCCAGCATCCACTCGCCGCCATCTTTCACAGCAGTACACGTGAGTCCTGCGCTCGTGGTTCCAATTCCTGTTGTGAGCACGGAGCGTGGGCTCAGCTCGGCTGTAAATCGAAGGAACTGCGACTTTCCTGTGCCGGGATCACCGATCAGGAGCATGTGCGGCTCGCCTCGAGTCTTCATCCCGGTCTCATCCACGTACGAGACGCCACCGATGACCGTAAGCGCCACCGCGAGCTTGACGATGAAAAGTCCATAGACTTTGGGGCAGATACTAGCGACGATCTCGTTGCGCCCGCGAATCGGGTCTCGCTTGTGCTTGGCCCAGAACTGCGCGAACTCGGCGCGCAGCTCCTCGGTGACGAGAACCTGCGACGTCGTCGCGTTCTTGATGCGGATGCTGTTGGCCTTGATCGTCGTCTCGAGGTCACAGCGCACACCGCGCACGCACGGCTTCCACGTGCGCATGAGGATGCCCACGACCGTCACCTGGTCTCCAGCCTTGATTGAGTCCACGAGGTCGTCCTCCAGCACCACCAAGATGGACCTGGGGATGGATCCGACTCCGAGCTTGGACGCCTGCTCCTGGATCTTGATCACCTGGTGGTCCGACACGACGCTGCTGTCTGCGCCGCCCACGGGCATGAACTGCGTCGACTTGCACGGCTTCTTGCCGCCGCTGCTCGTGTCCCCGGAGCTGTCCGACGGACACACTTTCTGCCAGTAGCAACAACACCAGCACCATCAGCACCACCACCACCAGCAGCAAAATGGCTACATATCCATCCAAAACACCGACCGGGATCTCGAGCACGTTGCCCTGCTCCGGGTCCGACTTGACGAGAAACCGGTGGCCGCAGCGCGCGTTGCAGCACTGGTACTCCCGCTCCGTCTCCTGCATCTTGATGAGCCCCGTGCGCACCACAGTGCCCGCGATCTGGATGAGCTGCTTGACGTCGTTGGACCGAATGGCGCTGATCGCCGGCTTGCGCAGCGGCGGCACCGGCGGCAGGTTCTCCACGCGCACCTTGAGCTTGCGCCGCGCCTTCAGCGGCACGGACGGCAGGCCGCCGCCCTCCAGCGGCTGCCCGGCGTTGCAGCTCACCTCCTTGGCCAGCGCGGCGTGGAACAGAGGCAGCAGCTGCTCCGGGTGGCGGAACAGCAGCGTGCCGAGCTGCGCGTTGAAGTCCAGCAGCCTCTGCGCGCACACGCGCTGGCTGAAGGCCTGCGAGCTCTGCTCCGGCGCCTCGGCCAGCGCCGCCAGGGGCGTCGACGCGTGCCGCAGACGCCGGTGCAGCTGCTGCAGGCCCGCGCGGTAGTGGCGCCGCAGGAACCGCGCAAACGCCGCCTGGTACTCGGGCGCTAGCCGCTCGAAGCGAGCGCCGGTGGCCTCGTCGTCTAGAGGCGACATTTTGCTGGTCGGAAGACAATTGCACTTGGATTTTGTATGGACTGCGAGATGGCTACACTTCAACGTTGGGCTGGTCTATTGGAGCTCTTCAGTTTAGAGCAAGTCTTTGACTTCGTCCATGAAGGCGTCGAACTCCTTGGACACGGAGCTGTTGGCATTGACTACTGGTGCGGTTGTAGGTCTTGGAGGAGGCGGAGGTGGTGCAATGCCGGCGGGACGAGGAACTGGAGCGGGAGGGGCTGGGACTGGACGACGCGGAGCTGGAACGGGAGGCGCGCTACTGATACTTGAGCTGTGGCTGGCGGGTACTTGGCGCTGCACTCGCAGTGCGACGGGCACGAGCGAGCGGAGCTGCGCGCGGCTCTCAGCTGCGCGTTCAGCAGCTTCCTCGTCCATTTCTTGCTGCTCGGGGTCAGCCTCGTCCGTCCTCGGGTATGGGGCCACGACGCTGTCCTCCTCCAGGTCGACTTCAACTTGGTCGATATCCATAGCCACTTCAGCTGTGTCTGGTGCAGGCATGGTCGGGTGAGGCGGAGGTGGGGGTGGCGGCGGCACCATTCCAGTCGATGGTGGAGCGTGTGCGGAAGGCGGCGGAGGCGGCCGCGCCGGAATCGCACCGCTGGGTAGTGGCGGTCTCGGCGGCACCTGGATCGTCCCCGGAGGCGGTGGCCCAGCCGGTAGCGGCGGGCGCTTGCCAGGCCGCCTCGCCATCGCACGAGGCTGCTGCATGGACGGAGGAGGCGGACCCCGCCCTCCCGCCCGCGGCGGGCCACGGTGTCTCTGCTGCTGCGGACGGCCACCAACTCCTCCTTGCCTCAGTGGCCCGCGGCCAGATCCCGGCGGCCCTGTCGGCGCATTGACAGGCCCAACAGGACCCGAAGGCATGTTGCGATACACCTGCGGCTTCCCTGGCGGCGGCGCACCGAACGGGTTCAACGTCGGGTGGTAGTAGATCGAGTTCTGCAACAGCAGCAACAACAACAACAGCCCCATAGTCAGCTCCAGCTCCATCAGCCTTACTTTGCACGCCAACCCCCCGTCACCTCTGGGTTCTGGAACTTCTCCTTGTTCGCCTCCGTCAGCTCCGCCATGCTCTAAAATTCCACAAACAGCAACACCAACAAGCAATAGTCAGCATCCTGGATCAAGACGCCCACAATCTCCATCAATCGCCGCTCACCATTGGCGGCGGGGGCGGCGCGTCCTTCTGCTTCTTGCGCTCCTCCTCGGCCATCTACACGACACACAGCCCAGAATGAGCCCCTAATAGCAGCGGTCCTGTAGATGTTGACGCTTCCGACCTCCTTCTGCTTCTTGACGACGGCGCGCAGCGTGTCCTCCAGCTCCTGTTTGCGCTTGCGCGTGGGGCCGTCCGTGGGGTTGATGGCCACCTGGCGCTCCAGGTTCTTGAGCTGCGCGCGCAGCTCCGCCGGGTCCATGGCGCCGAGCTTGGCCTGCTTGTCCTTCTGCCGCTCCAGCCGGTGCTTCTTCAGCTCCTTCTTCTTCTGCTCGCGCCGAAACGCCTCCATCGGGTTGAGCGACTTGGCCATGGTCACCGCCTACTGATCTGAAGAGGGAAAATGGAGCACTGACCAATGGGCACACTCGCTGTCAAGTCGACCATCGAAACCTGAAATGTCACTCTTTCTAACGTCAAACCACCACTCTACGAGACGGCCGATTATGGCATGGTAAAACAATAATGCCAATATTTTGTTAGTGATTATTTATGGCAATCGGTTGGGCTCGACCATAAATTATTTATGTCGGGAGGGCCTAGAAATAACTGTTCCTTGAAAATATTTCTCTAAATGTAGAGTCTTCCATACAAAAAACCAGTTAAGTTAAATCTAAAACTCGATAAATAATTGTTAATGATCATTGTCGACATTACATTATTTGTGCATCTAATTTGTGGGGCTGATGCCATTATTTATGAGCCAGATGGACCATCCATAAATAAAAATACCATAATCGGGAGCCTTCGACGACATACACCCGCTCCCTCGATCGGACCATACTTGAAGTAACCAACAAAGCCTAAAAGGTATTTTTTGTGAAGGCGTAGGTGGGTAGCAGCATGGAGACGACAAAGCTCATAGTTAAGTTCTGAGCTGATAAAGCTGGTATTTTCTTGATGCAAGTTTAGCGGATCCCAACACCATTTTGCAGTTGTTTGGCATTTGCTGATCAAGAATGGTGTGTATTGAGCATCGTGCTCTTTCAATAGTTATATTACAAGGTTAGCGGCGTCTTCGTTCGACACCAATTTCTGTCGAGGGTGTGTGGCTGGCCAGCTACGCACTGCCGCGACCGAGCATGAAGGCGGACTTGCAGTCGAGCGAGCAGAAGTCGGCGTACTGGCGACTGAGACTCAGCGGCGAGAACTTGCGCTGGCACATGCGGCAGACCTGCCACCCGGCGCATGCGCTGCCACCGCCGGAGCTGTCCGTCCACTGTTCGTGTTGCGCCCCGGACGGTGTGCGAGCAAAGTGGTTGCACTGGGTCGAAGACCCGACGAAGCCCCTGCTGGCGCCCGCGAGCGCAACGGGCCGCAGCGCCGTCGTCTCCATGGCCTGGCGCGATCGCCTCTTGGACCGGAGCTTCCGGAGCGATAACTTGGACGCCACCCAGCGCGTCTTCTGCTGGATCACGCTCTTGATGTCGAGGCCCATTCCTGACGCTTACTGTACTGTGCTGCGCTGTGCTGTAGAGGAGTCCTCCCTTGCTCGCTTGTTTCTTTAGCTCGAGTCAAATTCCAATGTGGCGGGAGTGCACGCACGATGGGGCTCGTCTTGGTGTCGTAGGGGCTTCGCCCGCTCCCGAGCGCATTGAAAATTGATGGTTCCATGCAAGCTCGCGCGTGTGGTTCGATCCAGAGCCCAAACTTGTGGGCCCGGCGCCCTTCAACGGCGAGCCTTGACCCAGCTGGGCCGCGGATATCCATCCACCGCCGCGACACATGCGGTTACTTGCAAGTATCTCAATCACCTCGACGTCGGAACGTCAAGCAGCTGCAGCCAGCTTACACGACGCGGAATAGTGCGTCGTCCAGCGGGGACACCTCGAACGAAAGGCAGCCATCGTAATGGCGATGATGGCGATGTCTTTGGAGGTGGCAAGGTCCTTCGACTTCAAGTCGGAATTCAGAGCCGACGGATTCTCAAGCACCCAAGGAAGCGCACAAACAGAACGCGTGCACGCACGTTTGAGCTGGGGTGGGGCTGCACCACGTTAGAGATGTTGCACACCTCAATGCTAGTGTAAGTATGGTACAATAGTCTTCACGCGCAGCCAACTGATACGTCTTCGTTCCAACCTCAGCGTGTGAGTACAGTACGTGGCTGAAGCATACAGGTATGCGTTGGTGGTGGAGTCCAATTCTTTCGAGCAACGCACTCGCCTTTGCCAACTTCGGCCCGGCCGGCCTGCTTCACTGCTTCAGTGACTGAAGCCCAGCCTGGCCGAGCACCGACTCTATTGGGCCTTCAAATCGCGGGTCGTTTTCACGAGCCCTAACTTTGGAATAGAGTCCACGTTCGAGTCAAAGTGGCCGAAATACTGGAGACTGTGGCGGTTCTGATCAGGAATCGTTTGCTCCTCTGCTACTCCGCTACAATAGTCGCGGTCTCCCATGGATGTCTTCGCCAACGCCGTGAACGTGCGCCCTCCTGCGGCCATCGTCCTGCTGGACGAGGAGCAGCAGCGAGTCCTGCGTGAAGGTCGAGACGAGCAGCAGCAGCAACAGCAGCAGCAGCAGCGGCAGCGCAGAACCCCGCCGCCATTAATTGATGACGAAGAAGACCATGAAGAGGACGCGCCTCGGCCCGACTCGGACGGCAACGCCTTGTTCGTGCCCACGACGCCCCCGATGCTGCCCATTCCCCAACATGCTCCACCACCGCAAGCACCGCCTCCACCAACGACCAACTACCTGCGCACGGACTTCACGACCGGCCGGCGTCCGGCCACCACGACCGCTGCAATGCTCAAGTCCCGCGAGGCGGGAGGAGGAATAGGAAGCGACGGCATCCGCACCAACTTCACCACCAACCGCAAGACGCCGAACCCGGTGGCCGCCTTCATCAACGGCCAAATGGCGGGTGGGGCTCAGAGCAGCCACTCAGCCACGGACTACGCGAACGTGGAGCCCACAGCCATGCCCTTCGTGTCGAGCACGGACCCGCCGGAGGAAGTGACGACCGACCCGACCAAGGGATTTCGAGGCAACGGCAGCAATCTCAAGCTCTCGGTCAGGTACATGATCATCGGCGCGGTGGCCGGTCTGGGGCTGGGCATCCTGTTCGCCCACATCGGCGTGTCCGACATCGCGGCCCAGTGGATCTCGCTGCCAGGTGACTTGTTCCTGCGAGCGGTTAACTCGCTGGTGGTGCCCTACGTCTTCTGCTCGGTGGCGGTGGCTGTAGGTGACATCGTGTTCGTGGGCAAAGTGTCGATAGTCGGGCTGCAGACGCTCAAGATCTTTGCCACGGGGTGGGTCGTCTCCACGACGCTCGGCATTGCCGTATCCTTCGTGTTCCGGCCGTTGTTCCGGCTCAAAAATCACTACGCCAGTCCGGACGCCAATGGTGTGGGCTTGACCTGTCCGAACGGCCTCATGCTCGAAATGTTGAGCAACAGCAGCATCACATGCTCGTCGAGCGCTACGGCGCTGTCGGTGGACAACGCGTTCGTGCTGGACGACGTTAACAGCGTCTTCGAGACCAACAACGACGCGGTGATCACCGACTTGACTCTGAGCAAACAACTCATCTCCACGCTCGAGTCGGTCGTGCCGGACAACATCTTCTCGTCTCTGGCAGACGGCGACCTGCTCTCTATCATCACGTTCGCCATGGTGTTGGGCTCCATCGCAGGCCGCAGCTACTTCTCCAAGACTCGACGTGTGAACTACCTGTACCTGGTGCTGCTGCAGCTTCGCAACACCTTCTTCTTGGCCATGGAGTGGGTCATCTGGGTCACGCCCGTCGCCGTTGTCTCCACCATCGCGGGGGCCTTTGCGTCCAACCAAGACGCCGTGAGCCAGCTACCTAAGGTGTACATGTTCCTCGTGGCCTGCATGACGGCCGCAGCGCTTCAGATCCTGGTCGTGTACCCGTTTGTCATCTTCCTGCTGGCGCGTTGCAACCCCTACAAGCACATGCACCACATGATTCGGTCGTATCTCTTCGCGTTCGGCTCCTCGTCGTCGCTGGCTACGGCTCCTGTCACCCTCGGCTGCGTCCAGAAGGCGCGAGTTTGCTCGCAGTCTATCGCCACCTTTGTCGTGTCAATCGGCGTCGTCACGAACATGTCGGGTTCTGGATGGTACTATCCGATCGGAGTCATCTTTCTGGCCGAGTCGTCGGGCAATGGCGACCAACTCACGTTCCTACGTCTCGTTGCGATCTTCTTCCTTAGTATCGTGGCTTGCGCGGGCACGCCCCCCGTGCCGAATGGAGGGGTGGTGGTCATGTCCACCATGTACAAAACTGTGTTCGGTGTGAGCGCGCTGCCTTCTACCTGGGCGCTGTACCTTGCCATGGACTTCTTCGCCGACCGGCTGTCGACTATTTGCAACGTAAACGACGACATCATGGCTCTAAAGGTCATTGCAGAGAATACGGACGAGACCGTGGCGGGTGATTACCTCGGCCAGCGCAGCTAGTTTATTAAGTTTTTTTTCAATAGAGAGATTTCGGGATTCTTCTCGCGGGGGGGGGGGGGGGGTCATACGTTATTCCGGGGAATCTACCGCCACCGATCGGGACCATATCCGACCGGATTTGACCACTTCTCACCTTTTTTGGACCCGAATGATTCCCCCGGTACCGAATTTGTTTTGTAGAGGGATACCCACCTATGGGATACAGGATAGTATTAGCCAATCACAATTGTGTCCTCAGATTGACAGGGCTTGACTTGTTGAGGGATACACCAGTTTCAACCCAGTAATTTTTGCACGCTTGGCCGCTCAGCGCGCGATCATTACTGCAACGGTGCGGGCGCCACCAAGTCACCCTCGCCTGTCTGGAGGTCAAGGCAGGTGGAAAACGACGCGGGCCCTGCTGCAATGAAGAAGGCTATTGTCGAGCACCTGAGACTACACTGCAATGTTTGTTTCACTGTAGATACGTTCTTTCTACAGAAAAGTATCAAGGGAGAAGAGTAGTGGAGTTAAGATGGGCTAGTCGTTTAGCTCTATAGCTGCTGGGGGTGCTTCTGTCGGCGGCAGGAACAAACGCAAAGCTTGCTCTACTGAGCTTCGATCTCAAGTTGGGGTGGTGGCGGCGAACAAGCTAATAAGCTGGGCTGTGTCGGCAGCCGCATTGGTGAGATTCGGCCTTGAGAGACTTGAGGTAGAGTGCTCGGTTTAGTAATTTTGATAAATACATCTGGGCGTCCGGTGCCGATTCGTTTTTTGAGCAAAATCGGGCGTCTGGTATTTTAGCTCCGGTAGGGTGTATCCCTCTACAAAACAAATTCGGTATTCCGTTTGAGTAGAGCAAGCACGCCCTAAAGAAGAAACGCGCTCACCCAGCACGAAGTCGAAGAGGTTGGAAGGTCTCGCGGACGGCCACCTCGAGGCCACGCTACAGCTGTCTATCCTACGGATACGACTGCCGAGAGCCCGGCGTTCTATCGCGGCGACGTCACTGTGGAGCGCTGCGTCCGGCATGAGTGGGTCTCTGTCTCTGGCTAGCGGTGCATCATCGTCCTCGTCGAGCGGATCTGTGCGTCTATCGACGGGTGCGGCGGCCGAGTAGGCAACATCAAGCTGTCCGTGGGCAGTGGCGATACGGCTAAGGGCGGCGGCGTGGGCGTGTCCAGCGGCGCGAGCAATAGCTTCACGAGCGGCAATGTGCTGATGCACACTCCGGATGGCGGCGTGGGCGCAAACAGCACGGCCGCTTCGTGGGGCCTGATCAAACTGACGACGGGCTGGGCTCGGCGGGCGACTTGCGGCAACGGCGGATCCGTCTTGCTCAGCGTGGGCACGGGCAGCAGCGGTGCTGGCGAGGCTATCTCGCTGCGGTTTGGCGACACACAGGCTGGAACAGGAGCGGCTCTTGCAGCGCAGGTGACGTGTCTGACTGCGGGGGCGAAAGTGGCCCGCCGTCTTCGGTTTGAGTGCTGACGAGCAGCAACAAGTAAACGTTGCGATGGTCGCTGCCTAGAGACAAGTGACCAACCTGATCAGGAAGAACCTCGTCATCAGATGCCGCAAGCCCGTGTCCTCCGTGTTTGAGCTGCTGCTGCCGCCCGTGCTGACGCCCTCGCTCGTGTTCATCGCCAACCTGGACTCGATCTTCGGTACCGCGGGCAACTACAGCAGCTCGTCCGAGGCGGCCACAGGCACCATTATGTACACGGGACTGGACTCGCCGGCGTACACGGACTACGGAGCGCTGAGTACCAACATGCCGACGTTCTACAGCAGCGGCCAGAGCGTGAGGCACTTCCTGCTGATCAGCTACATCAAGTTCGTGTCCACGACCACGACGGCCACGATGATCGAGAAGAACCGGAGACCTAACAGCTCGTCCACGTAGGGCTTGACGCTACCCTAGCGCTCGATGGCGAGCAACACAACGGGCATGACATTTAGCGTTCAGCGTTCTGCAAGGGCTGCGCTGCGTTCGAGATTGCTAAGGACACCAAGCTGTGGATGAAATGCCAGCTCATGAATGCGAGATTGGTTCAGCTCGCAAGAAGAACAGAATGTATGTTTGATGGATTGAACATGTGCGATGTAATGATCTTATCTAAATCGATCCTACCTGACTGTCTTGGTTGCTCTGTCGTTTTGTGCAGTAAAGACGCAGTGCTCGAGTCAATGGCAGACCTTCCAGTGCTCGTTCTCGCTGAAAGCGGACGAGCTGTCGGACGAGTTGAGTTTGTCCGGCTCCGTGGACCGCGAGCTGCCGGTCTTCTAGTACTTGCCGCGCAGCTGCGGGGTCATCTTCTGCGTGAGTTCGACCTCCTTGTTGATCGCGTCGCAGGCGCATCAGTGCTCCGAGCTCCTGGCTGGTCCTCAGCAGGTCCGCCAACTGCTTCTTCAACTTGGCGTTCTCCTCTCGCATGCGCGCGAACTCGTTGTTTTGCTCAGCTTTCTCCATCTTGAACTTGGAGAACTCCTCGCGCACGCGGTTGATCTCTCTCTCCTTCTCGATCTTCTCGATGCACAGTTTGGAGAAGATCTGACGAGCCAAGCGGCCACGCTAGATGCGGATAGCTGCTGCCTCCGCCTCCTGTCTGCCCTCCTCCTTCATCACGGCGAACTGCTTCCGCTCCTGGTTTTTCGCTCCTCCTTGCCCAGGTCCTTGTAGCCGTGCTCTGCGCTGCACTGCTCCACCTGCCGGCGCTCAGGCTGCGCCCCTTCGTCACGTCAAAGTGCTTCAGCACCGCCTCGGTGTCTCCTGCTCATAGCGAACGTCTGTCACGGCTTGAACTCCCTTTGAACGACTTTGTACTCAATTCTAAACTGACTTATAAACTTATAAACAAACATGCGGCGGAGTGTCGGAGTTCGGAGCTCGGTGTCGGATATGTCGGGGCCTGTCGGCCCCAACATATCGTATGAACCCTCCTCGCCCTTGCATTGCCCTCAAAGCCGTTTTTCAGTCATAATGGCGCCCTCACATTTTGTTCAATGAGTTTTGATTTGCATACGTTTCCAGAGGTGTCTTCTCTGTAAATTTGCAAGGAATCGAGTCGTCGACTCGATTCCTTACATGGATTTGGTGAAATCTGGGGAAAATCACAGCGAGGTGGGCGCAAAAGGTTCACACCAGGCGCGAACTTAGCTTAATGTAAGGGTAAGGAATGGCTCCGAAATCTCTCTAATATTGTCGAGAGCTTCTGTAGTAGTGGTATTATGTTTTCGTCGTACTGGTCATGCTTGAGGGGTTAAAACTCCATACACAGTGTCCGGGCCATCCACATGCTACACCTTTTCTCGGTCTACCTGAGCTAATAAGACAAGCAAAGCTGTGGCTGGACGAGTGCTGTACATACACGCTCAGCACGCTACGCACCATGGTCATGAGCGAGTTTAATGTGCTTCTCTCTGAGGCCACGATTCGCGCCACCTCGTGGGCATGTTCCTTACGGCCAAGCAGGTAAAATGTGTGAGCTCAAGAGTATTTTTTAACGTTACGGTTCTAATCACACGTGCTACTTTTATTGTACGACAGACTCGTGTCGAGCCCACCACGTGCAATAGTGAGGTGCACAAGGAGAAGAGGAAGGCTTTTGCCGAAGCTCTTGTCCGCTACAACGATGATGGCGACCTCGTGGTCTATTTCGACGAAATAAATTTCAATTTGTACACGAAGCGCACGCGCGGACGTGCTAAGAAGGGGAAGCGGGCTGTCGAGAAGCTGCCGCCTTCGAAAGGAGGTAACCTGCAGATCCAGTGTGCAGTGTCCTCTGTGTCCGGCGTGGTTGCGTACCGTACGCACCGTGGCAGCATCAAAATGGACACGAACGCTGCGTTCGTGGAGGCACTGTACACTGAGATCAAGGAGACAGACGTCTACAAGAACGAGTTCGCCGACAAGAAGATCGTTGTCGTCTTCGACAACGCCCCAGCGCATTCCCAGACGTGCCTGCTCATGACGACCCCGTCCTACTGCGCCTCGGGCCTTACAGCGCGATGTGCAATCCAATTGAAAACTGCTTCAGCGCTCTCAAGGCACACATCAAGCAGTACCTGGCGCTGATGGTCGACGAGATGAACCGCCCCCGAATGCAGCCGACAAGCTCCGGTCCACGCATCTCAAAGACCGAAGCTCGCATGCAGCTGCTCGAGCGTGCTGTGCATGTGAGCATGCCGCGCATCACGCAGGCGGTGGTGCAGAGGATAGAGCTTCACACAGCGAAGTTTGTCGTCGCAGTGATCCGAAGTACGGCGAATAGTGTTTTTGGTACACTGTACCATTTCACATTGAATGAAGGTTAGGCAGATTTGTTTGTCAATTTCAGATTTCCGTTTCCTAATTTGGGCTTCTTGTGCACCCCAAACTAAAGCATGCCACCTTTGCTTGTCTAATTAGCTCAGGTAGACCGAGAAAGGGAGTAGTTTTTGTTGAATTCTTACAACTTACGTAATAATACTAGCTGTACACCGAGAAAACTTAGTAGTAGAATGACCGACCCCCTTGTGCGTGTTGCGCGCAATTCCAGCAGGAATTGGTTTATTCGGCCAAATTCGGGGGAAAGGCTTATCCCTTCGTCATTGAATGTTGTTACTGTACTACCGTACCTGTAGACTGATTCTGATGTAGAGAAAATTACGACGGAAGCATTCTCATCCCATTTGGAATTGATAAATATACTGACCCCCCCCCATACACACAGATAATTCGGGAGTTATTGAGATTTGAAGAAAAAACCCCACTACATTCCTCATGATGTTTCCCCCCTATAATCGCCAATTTGCTCATTTTAACTAATGTCACTTAAAAGTGTGCTAAGTATAATGTTTTACCAGAACAGTAAATTAATTACAGTTTGTAATGATTTTGCAAAGTAAGGTACACTCGATTCACCGGTGAACGGTTTTTCACGCCCCCGTTCTTGCCGAATGCTCATTCCGCAATCACCTGCCACGCAAGCGATGACTCATCGTAAACAAAACGCTGGTTTCAACAAGAATACACAACCTGTAGCGCTGACTGGTGTAAAAGGTGGATTCAAAATATGAATGTGTGCGAGAACGCAGTTCAAAAGAGTCGTAACCATGTCTCCATCCTGTTGCCCAGCTGTCACGCAACCTAACTTTTAATTAAAAAATATTGGTAGGGATAGAGCAATAGATCCCATTACGAACGGCTTCAAGGTACGTTTGTGGGCTTGTTCTGCTGGTGGTGACTTGTCAAGTTGCAATTAATTTCGAATTTAATTCCCAGCTACCGTCCACGGTGGTACATGTACTCTCTGCAAGTTGGCAGGTTCACTGTCAACAACAAGCGCCAACAAACAGATCCCGGTACCGCTCCAGCTTCAATGGCTAACACATGTAAGTGTGTATACACGAAGAGGAGAGGTCCTCGGATTTGTGAGAATCGCGTGGAGTAACGTGTTTTCGGATGACGGATCGAAAAGCAAGCGGTGGCTCAACTTTCTTGATAAAGTTATTCTCTTTGTCCGACGGTCCGTCTTTCTCCAAAACTTAGGTAGTGACGTGCATCTTGTTTCTAGGAAGTGCGTGTACAGATATTTCAACAACAAACAGGTAGAATATGGGCATTCGACGACTACGCACATTAGATAGCTACACGAAAAAGAAAAGTATCACATCGTTCGTTTGAATGCTGATCAGACTTTTTTCTGTTGAACGAGCGGAGAATCCCGCTCAGTCTGCTATCGTGGTTTCCATTCCGCAATTCGCCCGCCATCTCCCAAGTCGACAGCTCAAGATCAAGAAAGCCCAGCATGCGACTCTCCTTCGTCATGTTAGCCGCATTCCTCCTTGCCAGCGGCAGCGCGATCACAGTAGCCATGGACTCCGAAGAAAGCGTGATGGCCTCACCGGACTACGTAACCTCACTCGGGACTCACGGTTTTTACGAATTATTATTATTATTTTTTTTTTTTTAAAGAAGAGCGCGGCTTCAGCACAGCCAAGTTCGATCAGTTGATGAATGACGGGGCCTATCGCAGCAGGAGGTTCGCCAACTGGGTCAAATAGCAGTACACGAGTTCGCAGATTTACAGCAAGCTGAAAGTCGGTCAGTATCCCCACTACAAGCGCATGCGGTATCACGCGTCAAGCCAACGCTGACGGACTCGCACAAGTTTAGAAGACTTCTGTATTGCTTGATGCACATACAGCCCTCTATCGGTAGGCTTTGTTACAGTTTATTATTATTTTTAGCTCTAAAACCAAGTGAAATGATGATGTACAGGTGGATCATTTAAAATGCATCACATGTATGACGTTGTACACATTGATGAAAAATGGTTCAACACGTACAAGGGTGCGTCGAGATATTATCTGACGCCAGATGAGGGTCTGCCGTACCGCTCAACGCCAAACAAGCGGTATATTGGCAAGGTAATGTTCCTCGCAGCGATAGCAAGACCATGCTACAATGCAAAAACCAAGAAAGAATTCGACGGGAAAATAGACATCTGGCCTATTGTCGAGCAGGTACCCGCTCAAAAAAATTCCAAGAACCGAATTAAGGAAACTTTGGTCACAACGAACGTGAGCATGACAAGAAAACGGTACAAGCAAATGATACTTGAAAAAGTGTTACCCGCAATTCGCAAAAAGTGGCCTGGTGCGTGTATTCTGAATTCCACTACAAGTTGCTAACCCTTCTAATTATATGTTGCACTTACTGGAAATTTTGATGTTCGAAAGGTCGCAAAGCAAGGGTCGTCCACCTGCAGCAAGATAATGCTGGACCTCACGCATCTCCTTATGATACTGACATCGTGGAGGCTGGCGAGCAAGCCGGTTGGAATATTGAGCTCTTGTGTCAGCCTCCACGATCGCCAGATCTTAGGAGCGTTTCACGCTCTACAGGCGATCCAACTCAAGAAGTACCAACTGATACCTGCCCTCACAGTCTTTTCTGTTAAATAATTGACTGAGTACGTTTATCTTTTTGTCCATTGGTCTCATGGATGTTAGTACTTGCACAAGGGTTGATGAAAACATTTCACGGAAACGTAGCCAACGAGCACTTTACTTGAGCCGAGCCGCTGACGCCGCGCTTCCATCGCCGCTGTCACCGTCGTCATCGTCGAGATCGCCGTACGAACCAAAACCCGACTAGCGAAGTAAGGCCGCCAAGACCAAAACGCATAATCTCAAGATACATTAGACCACTTGGCAATAACAACAACGAACAGTACCCAGTGCAACACGATACCTTTTGCTTGGTGTGCTCCCGGTACTTGGCCAGCTCGTGGTGGATGGTGGGTGACAGGGGCATCTCCGAGGCATGAAGCGCCGCAGGAGAGGCCCCATTGATCCACGGGTGTTCCAGCACTTGAGCCATACTGAAGCGCTCGTCGGGGTCCAGCACCAATAGATGCCGCACCAGGTCCTTGGCGCCGTCACTGATGGTGGCCCAGCCGTCGTCGTCGAACTCGAAGCTGCACGCCTTGATGCTTGCAATCATCTCGTTGTCGGAGCGATCCCCCTCGGGGTCGAACGGGTGGTAGCCACACAGCAGAATGTAGATAATGGTGCCCAGACTCCACGAGTCCACCTTGTCGTCGTAGCCGAAAGCCGATCCGGAACCAGAGATCATCTCTGGCGCCGAGTACCCCCACGTGCCGCACTTGGTCTTAAGATTCGTGCCTGCGAAGACTTTGGCCAGCCCAAAGTCTGCCACCTTCACTACAGCATCATGGTCGTCCGGTGTCGATAGTAGAATGTTCTCGGGCTTGAGGTCCCGATGCACGATGCCACACCTACAATTACATCCATGATAGACATCAGCAGCAAAGTATCAGGGTCAAAAGCCAGAGAAAGAGGGAGTATCCATGCCCACTCACTCATGCAGGTACTTGATGGCGCGCGCCATGTCGCGCACGTGGCGCACGCAGTCGGCCTCCGAGTACGCGCCCTTCTCCGCCAGCCGCTCGAACAGCTCGCCGCCCGTGCAGAGCTCCAGCACCAGGTGACCCTCACGCGTGGTCTCGAACACGTCGATGAGCTCCACGATGTTCGGGTGCTGCTTGACGCGCCGCAACGCCGTAATCTCAGCGCGCAGTCGCTTGGGGTCCGTGAGGAAGCGCTTGATCTTCTTGATGGCCACGGCGCGGCCCGTGCGGCGGCAGCGGCCGCGACACACGACGGCGTAGTGTCCGCTGTAATCATTCGCAGAATCAAGCTACAGGTTAGTGTCGTGCGCACCTAAAATCAAGCGGAAAAGGGTAGAACGACATTCTACCGGCCGAGAAGCTCGCTCTGTACGTCATAGAAGTCCTCTACGCGGCGGCGCGGCGCTGCAGGACTCGGCGCAGCGGCAGACGTCGCGTCGTGGAAGTCTCTGGGGGGTGACGAGGCCCCAGAAACCTCCGAAGACGCGCGCTCGAGCGTGTCCGACGCACCTAGTTCCGGCGGCAAGTCCAGCACACGCGCGTTGCGTCCGTCGCGCAGGATCTGGCGCGCGGCGTCCTCCGCCTCCATCGCGGAAGGCTGGTTACCCATCTAAGCTGACTGTAGAAATGCGCTGCTTGGGGTCAACTACTGTACGTAGAAAACACTATATTCAGTTGGAAAGGTTGATGTGAAATGGCTACATTTTTCGATGACGCGTTCGGCACAAAGTCTCACAACGTGGTAACGATGGACGAGTTCGACGACGTCCCGGAGCGGCTGGAGCTGCCGCCGGCGCCGCGCTCGCTGAGCGATTTCGCGGGCGTGCTGGCGCCCGTGTTCAAGTACTACGTGGCGCTGCTGGTGCTGTTCCTGGGCGCGCGCTGGTTCAACCGGCAGCTGGACAACGAGGCGGCGGCGCAGGAGCGTCAGGGCATGCATCAGCGGCCGAACCTGTCGCCCGAGCTCATCGTCGAGAGCTCCGAAGAGGAGGAGGAGGAAGAAGAAGAGGAGGAGGAGATTGAGGAGCTCGTGACGGACGGAGACCGGCTCGTGCCTATGGGCGACAAGCAGAAGAAGAAGAAGCCGAACCCGACCAAGGAGCTGTTCGACGGCCTGCGCAAGGTGGAGCAGGAGCTGCGCGACAAGAAGAACAAGGAGGACGGCGAGGACAACGTGAGCTGGAACGAACTGCACGCCAGCATGCTGCGCCGCTACAAGGACAAATACCCGAACCATGGCCCGCGCATGGCCGACCCCGAGACGGACAAGTACGACGAAGAGTTCAACGAGCTGCTGCGCAAGAACAACATTGACCCGGAACAGCTCAAGAGCCAAAGCGCCAAGAAGGACGAGTAAGGTACAGTACTAAAGTGCTCTGCTTTTTGAGTCTAAAATTTGACGCGCTTGCTTTGCTTCCTGTTGCTGCCCTTGCTCTCCTTGGATGCACCTTCCTCCTCCTTGTCATCGTTCTCTCCCTCCAGTCCAAGCTGGAACGAGTCGAGGGCGTCGCCAGTCTTGTCTCCGTTATCCTCCGGCACGAAATCCTCGTCGTCATCTGCGAAGGTGAGCTTCTTGTTCTGCTTGGCGCCGCTGCTGCCGTCCACCGAGATGTTGCCCACGGGGCAGTCGCGCGCCAGGTGCTCGATGCTCTTGCACAGCTTGCAGCAGCCGCCCTTGGGGTACACGCCCATGGTGTTCTTGGGGCACTTGCTGCTGAGGTGTCCCTGCTGGCCGCACACGAAGCACGTGGCGTATGTGGCACCGCCGTTCTCCTTAGGCTTGGGACAGTCGCGCAGAGCGTGGTCGTCGGCGCCGCAGTTGAAGCACACGGCGGCCTGCTGCTGCTGCGCGCCGAAGCCGCCACCGCCGTTGTTCTGCGGACAGTTGTGCGACGTGTGGCCGCGGCGGCGGCACTGGAAGCACGTCTTGTTGAGGTCTCCGGCCGCGCGGTTCGGGCAGTCCTGCTTGCGGTGCGAGGCCTCGCCGCAGAGCCAGCAGCCGTCCTGCGCCGTGGCCTGCTGCGCCTCCTCGCGCTTGGCGCGGATCTTGGCCACGATCTCCGCCTTCTTCTCGCGGCGCGCCTGCTGCTTCTCCTGCTTGAACTGCTTGGCCTTGGCCTTCTTGGCCTTGCGCAGCTCGCGCCGCTTCTGCAGGATCTGCTTGCGCTCCTCGGACAGGGGTTCCTCCGCCATGGCTCCAGTACTGTGCTACGTCTTCCTTTGCTGCACTGTTGGCGGCACTTGTGTGACGTGTGAAAGGCAACTGAGCTTTGGTTGGCGCGCACTACGTAGTGTGCAGCACATAATAGACGCGATCATTCAGGTACGTTGACTTCAACTTCGGCATTGGTTCTTCAAAGGCTACCCGCCAGTGTACATGTGGCATCAATATCTTGCGATGATAGACTCCCTCATTAGTAGGAGCCACGTAATCTTCCGGCTTTGCCGCTCTTCGCGAGCGTTGTCGCGATCGACTCGAACTTGGTTTGATGCACTTCAACGCTCCCCGTTCAACCCGATATGGCTGCTCATTATCGCCATCTTATCTACCGCCACAACCGGCACTACTTCCGCCCCCATCTTGTGGCTGCAGCCACCGTCCAGGACAATAAGCAGTTGCACGGCAATTGCCGCACATCCCCGCTCTGCTCTTAGGCTCTGGACGCCCTCCTCCCTCCCTGCGCCAGCGACCATGAAGGTCGTGTGCGTGTCCGACACCCACGGGCTGCACGACGACGCGCTGCAGGTCCCGGACGGCGACGTGTTCGTGCACGCGGGCGATTTCACGGACACAGGCGAGCGCAGTGAGGTGCTGGCCTTCAACGAGTTCCTGGGGCGGCTGCCGCACCGCTACAAGATCGTGATCGCCGGCAACCACGAGTCGTCCTTCGACCGCCAGTTCTACCCGCGCTACTGGCACCAGTACGGCCACCGCCAGCAGTACGGTGCGTCACCTCGCTAAGTTGACACATCCTCTAATTCAGCGATTGACTAAATAACGCACTCGCTGTGAAATGCTACAGACCCCGAAGAAGTGCGCGCACTGCTCACGAACGCTCTGTATCTCGAGGACCAGGCTGTGCTGATCGAGGGCTACCTCTTCTACGGGTAACATTGAGTTGTTGTTTTTTATTTTCTCTACTAAGTTGACACTATGAATTGACTGTCGTGATGTGTCAACTTCATGCTGCATTAGAACGCCGTGGCAACCCGAGTTCTGCAATTGGGCCTTCAATTTGCCACGAGGTGACGCGCTGCTGAAGCAATGGAGACACATTCCGACGGACACGGATGTGCTGATTACCCACACGCCACCGATGGGCCACGGAGACCTGGTCGGGTACCAGAATGTGGGGTGTGCCGACCTGTTGCGGGAGGTGGAAGATCGAATTCGCCCCAAGCTGCACGTGTTTGGTCATGTACATGAGGGATACGGACGCAGCGCCAGTCCGGACGGAGCCATCACCTACTTCAACGCCTCGGCCTGCACGCACAACTACGACCCAGTGAACGCGCCGTTCGTGTTTGAGCTGACTGGTCCTCCCAAGAGAGGTTGGCCTAAGCACACGGTACCCCTATCGACTTCGTCTTCGTCCGACTTGGGCATCCGACGCAGCTTCAGCACGAACGATGTCAGCAGCCTTAGCAGCCTATCGACTACAGACGACGAAGACGTCGACATGGAAGCTAATCTGCCGATTTATCCTGAGCCGAGAGACTACGCGTTGATGCTGCACGAGTGGCTGCGTCAGTGCTCACACAAGCCTCCGTTCATTGAGAAGAAGGTCGTTCAGGTCGAAACGTGCGAAGTCAAAGGCAAGGGGAAGCTGCGCGAGTTCCGTGTGGACGGCACCACATCTGGTTTGCTGTTTGAGAGCACGCTAAAGATCCGCCCCGTCACGAACGTGCAGAAGCGCGCATTGCGGTATCTCTTCTCGCAGGGTTTTAGCAGTAATTCGGACAACTACAAGGCCGAGAACTCGGAAGGAGAAACTGTGACGGTCCACAAGGAGGTCAGCTGTGAGGTGACGACGACAAGGATGGAGGTTGATAGCGAGCTCAGTGAGCCAGCGAGAGAGCGGCGGAAGTACGGCATTTCTCGTCGTGTGACGGTGGCTGTGCTGGATGACATCGACGAAGATAAGGAAGGAATGAATGATCGAGATCGGGAGCACGTGCAGCAAGCGCGTGTGGCTGCTGCTGCTCTGGGCAAAGATCCGTCTTCAGATGCACCAGGTGCTCGATCTGGGCGCCCACGACGCAACAAGACGCTGCAACGTCGGTCTGCCGTGCCCATGCTGGCCTCCCTCACAGAAGAGCCAAGCGAAGCGGAAGAGAATTGCACTACCACAGCGGATAAGCCTTCTACGCAAGAAGATAAGGCAGCTGAAGACACCGCTGCTGCTGCCGAGGCCATCGTCGTGGCTCCGCCGGTTGTTGAGTGCGTGCTGTGTAAGTATAAAGTTCCCGGTCACATTCATCCTGGTGCGCAACCAGCTCCAGCTCCAGCTCCAGTAGTTGCACTTACAGAAGACAAGAAACCTTCTAAAGAGGAGAAACCGAGTGAGCGGCAGAAATCCAGAGTCGACAACCCGCCGCCAAATCGGTTGTCGTCCTGGTTCTAGAAGGTAAGATGCGTGATAGATGCATGTCAGGTTGCACTCAATCGAATTCGTGAAGTACGGATAAAACGTACCGGATTGAATGGCTTTGGCCAATGTTCTGCACTGCTGTTTGGGACTCGTGGCACACCGTGAAACGTGTTGCAAATTGTCCGTGGCTAAAGCTTTCCTCGTGCCAGAGCCCCTCTTGCCAGTGGGGTCATTTGACAAGTGGTAAATTGCCACTGTCAAATGACCCCATCTCATCTTCTCCGGCACCAAACGCACGCCCACAAATGGCTCACGCAGCTATCGCGAGATGCCACCACGACGGACTGTTGCAAATCCGTCTCAAGGGCGCTCGTTGTGGGACAACAACGCCGCAGTTAGCACGCATATGAGTAGATGTAGCCATCTTCCTTCCTAAAGCTGCTCCATTAATGCTGTCACCAGCCCCTATGGCGATCTTCGAGCGAAATCCTGATCAAGACCTTAGGGAATGTAATGTTACTTTCTGGTACCTCCAATATTCATGACAACTTTGCTTGCGAATTAGGCCAACTATGGTCGGGCAAAGGTGTAGTTATACTGAGATAGCTAGTGTACCGTAAGGTATGCTGCTACGCAGCCGGCACATGATTAATTCACAGGTCGAAGACCTGTGCTTGGCCCCGGCAAAAAACTTGTAACTTTCCAAAACCGGGTACCAAACCGGGTCTTTCTTTCTTAATTGTAATGTTTAAGCTAATATCTGCCGGAATCGGGTACCCGTCGATAAATGCTAAGATTTGTGCACATTATTTACCAAAGGTTGATACTAATCGTTTATTATTGACCAAAACCTGCATTCAAACACTTACGGACGCTCTAGTACAGTATGAGAGCGTCATGGCTTCGCTGAAGGCGTATCAATTTGCGCCATAATTGACCAAGCTTAGCTGAAGATGAACAACATGACTTGTCTAGCTGCAGGCTGCACTTTTTTTACATGTCAATTTGCTCAATACCCAATCACTCTTAGCCGAAGATGCCCAACTCGACAGTGACACAAGCATCGTTCGTTTGAACAAGACTTTTTTCCCTGCGTTGAAGCACCCACTTTCAAGGAATTGGCCCATTAGCGTATATCTCATTCCGAAGCTCTCAAGTTAAAAGTTTGCTTGTTTGTTTTGTTTTTGAATTGAGACAACGAGTTACAAAGCCGGCATGCTTAATGCCATGCTCCTATATAAAAACAACGATAAATTCCTCCCGTCAAATCTGTATAACTGTCATAAAACACACGGTGTGTTGCATAAAATACACAAGAGAGCATATAAAGTACACAAAACCAGATGGTATACAAAGATGAAGTCATTTGATTGAATCTGATTGGCTGGTTTGCTCATGTTAAGCTTTGCTTGACTTCGTCTGCCGGCTTTGTAAGTCGTTGTCTTTATTGTCACTTACCCTAGCTAACATCCTCAAGTTAAATGGTCAAGATCAGCGCACCATGCATCTCTCCTTCGTTCCGCTACTGTAGTTCTCTCGTCTGATCGTTAGCACACAATATAGTACAAAAATGAGCACAGTATACCTTACCTGCAAAATGAATGAAATAGCTCTCTCGTTGCTAGCGCCAACGCAGCCATTGGACGCTGACCAGGGTGTTATGTCACCGATGGCCTCATCAGACCAGGCAACCTCAATTGGTGACTTTCGGTTCCTGAGAACCCACTGTCGCGAGTCGCCCTGGAAGGGACGGCTGCCGCTGCGAGAACGAAGTAGGACGGTACGGACAAGGAAGGAACGGTATGAAATACAACAGAGTCAAATACAAAGATTCAACTTGTTGTTTCCACGGCAAATTCACGACTGACCAACCTACCCGGCACGGAGCACCTCGCCTCGCGCTCTCTCTTGCTTCTCTTCAACTTGAGCGTCGACACACCGCCGCCCCCGAACCCATGGTCAGCTCCTTTCACCCCTCCGCCCTTGGCTCACGTCAAGGCTCACGCCCCGAGCTACGCAGCGCTCGTGACCTCCATCCTGTCTCCTCACGTCACCGCCTACTCGCGGAACACGCCACTGCTTCCATCACGACTCTTCGTCCACGCAACGGGCCCGCCGCCAGCTAATCCTCGCTAAAGTCGATGACTGCTCAGTCAGCTGATCCTCGAACAGCTGATCCTCGAGTAGTAGTCCACGCGCTGATTGACAGGCTGCCGGAGGACGGCCGCGACCGTACCCGAGACGGTGACCACCGTTCCCACTCGGGACATCCTCCCCGACTGAGACTCGACGTCCTCGTCGAGCGCCCTCTTCCTCCTTGGCCGCCTTCATCTTCGCGCGCAGGGCGCGCTGCTCCGCCCGTAGCCCACTCAGGGTACGCACCGGCTTCGGTTTCCCGACGCACCCGTCCGCACGCCAGAATGCTTCACTCAGGCGTTCGGCTTGCTGCAATTCCTCGACGTCACGGAGCCAGTCGGCGTAGCTCTCCTCCGCCATCTTCGCAGGTGAACGCACTCCTGACGCCGCCTCGTAGCACTTCAGCAAGTGGCTGGCGACCCCAGTCGCCGCCACCACGCAGCTCCACTGCATCACGACTGCATCAGGGCTCAACCCACCGTCGGCAGTCAGCTCACCGTCCGCCAACATGTAGTTCAGGGTCAGGAGTAGCACGCCCACACCCACCGTTCCTTGGCACGCTTTCTCGGCCAAGTTATACACGTAGATGACAGTGTAGAACACGGCATACGTCGCTAGTGTTAGGAACGCCCACAATCCACGGCCCACACAGCAGGCACGGTCAACCGAGCGCCGACACTCGGCCCTCGATCCGCGCCAGTACTTCACGGTAGACTCGCCACCCAGCTCGAGCACGTCGGGCAGGAACACACACCACAGAGCGTGGTAAGCATCCAGCCACTTGTACAGTAACCGGCCTAAGCCATCCTTATGTTCACCTCGGGCCTCGAGCACCACCATGGGCGTGGCCCAGATCGCCTCAAACGCCTTTCATCGACGCTCCGCAGACGGTCTGCCTCGCACGGACGGACCGTTCACGAAGCGACGGTACCGTCTTACGCATACCTTCAACAGTGTCAGCCACTTGAGCACAAAGCCGAACACGACCCCGATCAATCGCCCCGCAATGCTCCACAAGGGCCTCGTGATCACGCCGCCCACTGCACCAATCATCGCCAGCAATACGGCCGGCCAGTGGTTGCGCAGCACCCGCCACACAATCTTCCACACGAACAGGGAGTGCCACAGGCACCACTCGACAACATCCGTCACGGTTTCCATGTTCGCCACGGAGACGAAAGCGAAATGCCCTCGCCTCAGTATGCTCCTCACGGCCGTCCACAGCATTCCAAGTTCGCAGCCATACTCGTAAGTGTCCAACCGTAACGGGTAACCCACCGTCGCAAGTCTCGTCAATCAACTTAGTCAATCACTCGACCGTCTCACGCCAACCGTGCCTCTCCCATTTCCAGGAAGGGAAATCCGCAGCCAAACGTCCCAACTGCCAGGTCGGAACGCATCAGCAGAGGCCGCGGCAACTCGCAGTCTCGCCCTCATTTCAGCTTTCGCCGAGAAGAGAACAAGACTCCCAAGAAGCCCCAGCCACCACCTTCCGCCATGACCAAGTCGCGAGACGTCAACAGGGAGGCCGTCCTGCGACGGCTGCGCGCACGCCTCGATCGCCGGTCCCGGGGCGCGGACGCTGAAGCCGATGCCCAGCTCCGTGCCCAAGTGGGCTTCTACGTCCGCCTGCGCGCTGCGCTCTTCGCCAACAGCGGCTCCACGAACATGGACGCCGTGGACGCCGTCGCCGTCGCCGTCTTGGCCGACGACACGCTCTTTCCCGTCGAGCTACTAGAGACTGTGACCCTGCTGCCGCTGCCCGACTCGCTGCACGTCGTCGCTGCGCCCCCGCATGACCTGTTCACCGACCCGCGCCGCAGGCACGCTCGTCTGGCAAGCGACCGACCACTAGGAGCGCCTTCAAGCCCCCTCCGTCCAAGAAGCAGCGCAAGTCCAGGTTCCAGGACTGAGACGAAGACGACGCCGACGACGAGGAGGATGCCCCCGAGGGAGACGGCGCGGAGGAGTACGAATTCCCGCTACCCGCCAAGTGTCCAGCCACCATCCGTCGCGACATCTCCAAGGTCATCAAGCAGGCGGGCACCCAGGGCAAGACTCCTCCGCGCATGGCGTACCCGTGGACCGGTCAGCGTGCCTGGTATGACCCTCAGGAGCACCCTGCGCTACACGTGGCGTACTGGCGCTTCTGGATGCACTGGCGCGACGTCTTCTTCGCCTGCGCGCTGTACGCGCCCTCTGACGAGTGCACGGCCCGCCGCAAGAAGAAGTCGAACGCCGGCCAGGCACGGCTCGCCTTCATCAGCCTGAACATCGTCGAGCTCAGCTTCTACGACCACCTGGACTCTTCGAGAATGCCACCCATGACAACCTCATGTGGCTAGGCGGCAAGGCTGCTCGGCGCTCGGTGGCCGCGAAGGCGAACTCGAAGGGTAAGTCGTATGCGACGGCGGCGACGGACCTCGCCACGCTGTTCCGCAACGACCGTGGCCGCTACGACGCCATCATCGCCCGTGCCCTTGATCCGTACCGTGTGGACGAGGACGGATACCAGTCCATCTCCGACCTCCTCGAGCAGACGGACGCGCTGAACCCGACCAAGCCAGCGCACCTTCGCCTCAGCGACGAAGCCCCCACCCGCGTCGTCATCGACGTCACCGGCGGCAGCCCGCCCAACCCGTCGTGGGTCGGCAACAAGAGCGCCGGCACCTGGAAGGTTCTGCTGGGGGACGCTCGCATCCGAGCCCTCGCCAAGAAGATCAAGCCGCTCGTGAAGAAGGGCAAGCAACTGTTCCCTGCCCAGAAGGCGTACGACGAGGACAAGGAGCAGCGCGACGACTACTCGGACTTCGAGGACGACGAAGACATGTTCACGGTGCTGCCTCCGACGCCAGATCTCGAGGAGGAAGACGACGGCGAGCCCGACGAATTGGACGAGCATCTGCCCGAGACCGAGGCCGACCAAGATCAGGATGACGACGAAGAGCAGGACGACCACGAGGCCGACGAAGACCGCATTTCGGGCGCCAACGACCCCACGGACGACGACAAGAAGAGCAGCGCCGGTGACGAGGGCGATGACACCTCGTCCAAGAAGAGTGCCGCTCCTCCGGCTTCTCCCAAGTCCAAGTGAGTCGCAGCCGTCATTAGGGACGTGACACTAGTCGTTCATTTTGCTTTCTCCAAATCTGCTAGCGTTCCTCCAATTAATCAATTCAAATTCAAAACACGTAATTCCCTTTCCACCGATCCGTTCTTGAGTTCCAAGTGACCGTACCATCACCGTACACGACCGTCCCTTGGATCACGAACAACACCCTTTTCGGCACTGCTAAGCCATGACCAGGTCTTCGTCCTCCACTTCAGCGTTAGCCTCTTCCAAACGGGAACTCCTCCGTAGCTCAGGCAGGCGCTGCTTCTTCCGTTCGGCTTGCTCAAAAGCCGTCACTAAGTCGCTGTACTCGGGCATTAACTCAGCCCGAGGAATCCAGTGACTCTCAAAATTAGCCGTAAGCACCAGGTACTTCACAGCACGGTCGACCACTTGTTTCGCAACAATCTCCAGCAGCAGCGAAGTAACCCCCGTGAGGGCCGTATCCCCGCGACCTATGGTCACCCGTTCCGTGAAACTGGATGCCGGCAAATCTGCTTCCTCCAGCGGACCGTCTTCAACTTCTTCCCCGTCCCCCACAATACCTTCCGGCACTTCGTCCATGTAGGTCCGAGTCCACCGGTCACGGAACTTTTTCAACCGGTTGACGTTCACCGTGACGATCTTGTCTGGGTGCGATGGTATGTCGATCCGATAGGCGTTCTCGCCCACTCGACCAACGACACGGTACGGGGCATGCCAGGCAAAGGCCAACTTCTTCGTCCTCGCCTCGCCCCTCTTGTTCCTGAAGAGTTGATAGACCCAAACAGGATCACCGATTTCGTACTGCACAACCACGCGATCGCCCAGTCGCTGCTCATGTCGATCCTGCGCCTTCAGGAGCTGCCTCTCGACCAGATGACGCGAGTCACGCAAGGTACGGTAGAGCTCGCGACGGTACGCTGCCATTTCATTGCTCTTTCATTTCTTGCCCAGGTTCAGTAACGCGACGTCCAGCGGCAACACGGGATCGCGTCCGTAGAGAGAAAAGAAGGGCGAGTCGCCCAACGCTTCATGGTAGGATGTCCTGTAGGCGAATAACACCCTCGGCAAATGTAGATCCCAATCCGTCTGAGCCTCACTCACGTGCATTTTCAGCATGCCCACGAGCGTCCCATTAAAGCGCTCAACCAGCCCTTGAGTCTGGGGATGGTACGCTGAACCGTACAACTTCCTAATCCCCTGCGTCTGGTAGAAGGACTTCGCAATCTCCGACGTAAAGTTTCGTCCATTGTCACTCAGCAACCGCGACGGCACACCGTGCCGCGCCACCACTCCATTCACCATTACTTCCACGAAGGTCACCGAATCCAGGCGAAGCACAGCAAAGGCCTCGGCCCACCTCGTAAAGTAGTCGACAAATACAAGGATATACTTGTTCCCTCTCTCCGTCACGGGTAACGGTCCCACAGCGTCCACCACCAGCATCGAGAAAGGACCCGAGAGATCCGCCACCGGCATTCGCTGCATCTGGCCGGCCTGCCACGGTCTCGACCCCTTCCCACTGCCACACCGTGTACACTCGCGGACATACTCCGTGACGTCCTTCCTCCAGCCAGGCCAGAAAGCGTGCCTCCTCACTTTCTCGAGCGTCTTTGTTAGACCCAAGTGCGAGGATAGTACGTCAGCGTGACAGTAGTGTAGAACGGTTTCCACGTACGGCACAGGCACTACCGGGACGGTCAGGGACCGGGCAGGTCCGACCCGAGCCGGTAAGTGCACCTTCCTCATCAGTAACCCGTTCCGAACCACGTATCGAGACCGCATCCTCACAACCGTCGACCGGAGGAACGGATCCAAGGGTAGGGCCCCGTCCAGCAGAAACGCCACCAGCGCCTTCACCCACGGCATCTCTTGCTGCGCTTGTATGAACTGGTCTAAGTCCAGACCGAACCGGTCGACAGGAGTTAGGGGGGCACCTCCAGCGGGAGTGTCACTCACGGCTTCATTAGGCAGGTCAGGACACTCGTCGTCAACATGACCATCGGCACGCTCGCCACCTATACCAGGACCGTCGTTGGCCCCCGCTTGCTCCCCGACTGAAGTCGGAAGCACGTCCTCGACCGTGCCTTCCGGGTTCAGCAAGTCACTCATCGAGAGAGCCGCCACCGGGTCCATAGGTAGTCTAGATAGACCGTCCACGTGCCCCATAGAGGTACCAGGCTTGTGATGCACCTTAAACTGCAAATTAGAGAGTTCCATCGCCCACCGAGCCAGCTTAGCGTTCGTAGTACGGTTGCCAGGACTAAACACCCACGTCAGCGCCTGGTGATCCGTGTATAAGTCGAACTCACGCTTGTCGAGATAACATCAGAACTTCCTGGTCGCCCAGACGACCCCCCAACACTCGATCTCGGAGATGCCGTCCTGCTTTGTGATCCAGTTCTTCTGAGACCCGGTCAACAACTTGCTCGCATTCGCCACCACACGGTTACGACCGCCCACTTCCTGCATGAGGCACGCTCCAATCGCGTACCGTGACGAGTCAACGTACAACTTAAACCCCTTCTTACCGTCCGGATAGACTAGGATAGGAGGCTTCATGAGGGCCCTCTTCAGTTGACGAAAAGCACCTTCACAGTCATCGCTCCACTCGATCGGAGCGCCCTTGACCTTCAAGCGTTCCAGGGGCGCTGAAATGGAAGCATACCCCGGAATGTAGCGACGGAAGTAGCTGGTCAACCCAAGGAACGACCGTATGCAGTGCACGTCCACAGGCCTCTTCACGTTCAGGACCGCTTTTACCTTCTCGGGATTGGGAAGGATACCCGTAGGCGTGACAATATGACCCAAAAAGGCAACTTGACTTCTTCCCCAATGGCACTTTTTCATCTTGAGCTTGAAGCCCGCTTGCTGGAAGCGAGTCAGCACTTGACGAACACGCACCAGATGCGTAGAGAAGTCCTTGCTGAAAATCACGCAGTCGTCGAGATAGACCAGGCAGATACGCCACTTTAGATCCACTAGCACGGTCTCCATCAACCGCTCGAACGCTGGGACAGCATTACAGAGTCCAAATGGCATCACTAGCCACTCGTACAGACCGTACTTGCATGTGAACGCCGTTTTGGACACGCTGTCCGGGTGCATGGGCACGTTCCAGTAGCCCGAGGTGATGTCGATCGTCGAGAACAGCTGAGCGTCCCCCAGCACATCCAAGATATCATCAATTAGCGGCATGGGATAGCAGTCCTTCGCCGTGACCAAATTTAACTTACGGTAATCGATGCAGAACCGTATCCCACCGTCCGGCTTCCGAATCATCAGGACCGGGCTCGCCCATGGACTGTTCGATGGACGGATCAAATTCAACTCCAGGTACTGTTGGATTTCTGCCTCCATAATCTCCCCTTCAGCCAACGAGACGAGGTACGGTGCCTGCTTGATCGGCGCACTGTTTCCGGTGTCAATCTCAAACTGTAGCAGGCCCGTACGTCCCGGCTTCTTCGAGGACTCCACGAACATCGAGCGGAAGCCGTCCAGCTCAGTCTGGAAGAGCTCCTTCTGCTCGAAGGACAACTTGGACTCGGAGAAGTCGGCCTTCATGCCGTCCGACTTGTCGGGCGGAATGTCGGGCTTTGAGGCCTTCACCTTCTTGCCGACACCTTCCTCACACTTTTCCGACACGGACATCGCACTCGCCCCGCTCGACCCATCGCTTTCAGCGGGCACCGTTCCACCAAGCGCCGCCGTTGCCGGCTCGAAAGCAGACTCGGGGATCACGGACGTGCTCGCAACGACTGTCCCCTTTCGAATCCAGTATTCGTCCGTGGATGCATTGCACACCTCGACGATCACTCGGCCGTCCTCCACTGTACACAGCGTTCGCGCCACGCACAGCGTAGGCGGCAGGCCCAACGAGCCTTCGACCAGCACAAAGGCCTTATCGGTCACGTCCCCCACCACTCGAGCCCCCACAAGAGCTTGTCCTCGGGGAGGGAGCCGCACCGACGTCGCCATCGTCGCCATGTAGGACTCTTCTACCATCGTAAAGCCCAGAGGCAGCACCTCGCCGGAGCTCTTCAGTGTCAGGGAGCGCTCCGCCACGTCAATCACGGCGCCGAACGCGCCCAAACTCCACTCCCAGAATCGCGTCGACATGCAGCTTGTCGGCCACCAACACGCTCAGCGAAATCTCCACCGACCCAAGCCGGAACGACAAGCTGATCCAGCCACGGATCCGAAGCTTGTGTCCCGACGAGCTCCTGACCAGCCCTTCGTAAGGGTACAGAGGCTCAGAGGACCGCCCCAGTCGCTTCAGCACGCAACGGTCAACGAGACTTAGGGTAGCGCCGGTGTCGTTCAGCATTTGAGACGGTAAACAGTCAATATAACCACTTGAAAGCGCCTCAAAGTTGCCAACCGCGCACACCACCCTTCGTACGTCTTCCACGACACGGTGTACACAGTCTTCAGCGTCCTCATCATCATAGACTCCGAAACCATTCCGTAGGTTCACCGTGACAACGTCCACCAGGCCAGTCTTCGGCAGTGGCGTCCGAGCGGGACGTTCGCACCTCACCACCTCGACGTAGTGCGAAGCGTCCTCATCACGCTCAGGTAAAAGCTCCAAGTCGTCGATCACATCGGCATACGGCTTGTAAAGCGACGAAAAATCAAACGTGACCGCCTTGTCAGGGCGACGGCGGCGGCGACGTCTAGCACTCGGCGTCTTAGACCACCCCGTACGGGTCCACAGCTCCAACCAAATCCTTCGAGAGTTGTCGTCGTAGTAGGTCCTCATCCAAGATCATAAGCGCTCGCCAAATCGAGCCGTCACGCTCATTAACTCCTTGGCACGGTCGACGTGCTTCAGGAGTCGTTCTTCATCGTACTCAGGAACCTTGTCACGCAGCGGAGGGACTTCCACCGTCCCCTCTTCACCGTCGGGAGGCCTCCGCACCTCACTCACCCGGCCTCCATAGTTCCTAGTCTCCTTCAGGATACGGAACACAGCTTGCCTTGCCACCGTACGCGCGACCTTCGGGTCCACGCCTCGCACTTCACTCAAGATAGGCACCGCTTTGGTCACCGCAAGGGTCCCACCAGGATTCCCTGGCGGACGCACAACGTTCTCGGCCACGACAGACTCGACAGCCACCTGCATTTCCGCCGAGACGCTCGCGACGTCACTAGGCGGCACGGTCTCCAAACCTCTCGCGACGCCGGCAGCCGGAGGCGCCTCCTTCGGGTCGGCGACGGCTCCCGACGGAGAGCCGTAGACCACGCTAACCACGGGGCTCCGGAAGTCGCGGTTCGCACGCTTGGCCTCCTCGGACTTGTCGAGCATGTCCTCGAACCAGCCCTGCCAGTACTCGGGCGAACCGTGCAAGTCAGAGGACGCCTGACGCGTCCGTTCCACCACCTCCAGCGAGATCCCGAGGATGCGAGCCAACTCTTCCGACGACGGCTCGGCTTGAGCCTCCGCATTCCGAGCGACACGCTTCAGGAGCTCCACCTCGTCCAGCGGGTACAGTCGGTCCTCGAGCTCCTTGCCATACTCTTCGGGCTCGGGGACGACGTCCGTACCGGCAAGGATGGAAGCCTCCTCGCCCGCGTCACCGTTCTCCATCGCCGTGAGCTCACCGTCCGAGAACATACGGTCATTACCAGAGACGGTTGTCGTCTCCAGCGGGACCGCACCGTCCTCAGCAGCGGTTTCTGCAAGTACGTCGTCTCCCTTCGTCCAGGCCGAGAACAAGCAGTCCGACAAGTCGTATCCTTCGCCATCTAGGGCATACGGCGGCGGCACGTCGGCGAACGGCGTCGGCACCTCCTCCATATCCTCCTCCTCGAGTCCCGACCCATACGGCGGCGGCGCGTCCGCGACCGGCGACGGCACCTCCGGCAACTCGTCCGGGTCCTTCTTCTCGTTCGGTAACTCGGGCGTGTTCCCCTCGGTCGTCTCGGCCTTCAACTCGGTCGGCTCGGCCTCCTCTACTCCACCGGTCTTCACGTCGGCCGCCAATGCGACCGACCCGCCCACCGCGACGGTGGTGTCGGCGGCGGCCGCCAAGATGGCCAAGTCCTCGTAGATCGTGTCGTATTCTAAGTGGCCGACCTTCAGTCAGCGGCGGCCGCCAAGATGGCCAAGTCCTCGTAGATCGTGTCGTATTCTAAGTGGCCGAACTTCACCGCGAGATCCTCTCCTTCATCATCCGTACTAACCACAATAAATTCAGCTTTCTTTTTCTCGTTTTGGCCTTGTTTTCTCCATACGAAACTTCATCCAGGGCTGATACCATTCCGTCTGGCTCTGACAATACACTCATGCATACATCCACCCTCGAGACCGTCTCCTCCACTTCGTCACGGTCACGATCCTCACCCTCCGAGTCATCCAATAGACAAGAGGAAGGAGTTACTCTCTCCTCCCCTTCCTCCCACCCTCGTCATTGAGGCGGAGACGTCTGCGCAGCTTCTCGCAGACTCACGGCCAGACCTCGGAGCGCCGCCACTTCGGGGCACCCAGCGAACGAGTGACCGTCCTCCTTGCAAAACCCGCACTTCACTGGCCCTCGGCCACCGTTCCTGGCCACGGAAGCCTGACCACCGGTCCGGCCGCGATTGGGTCCGTCCTCGCATTCCACGGCGATGTGTCCAAGTTCTCCACACTGGTTGCATATCATCACTTGTCGTCGACAAGTCTCGCGTGAATGGCCCACGTAGCCACACCATCCGCACACGGGCGCTCCTTCTTGCGTCCGTGAATCAGCACCCATACGAACCCCTCGCGGTCGACCGTTCCCAGGTGGAGCGTTCCCGCCCGAGCCTGGACTCGAAGTCGTGGCCGACACATTTGGCATGCGATTCCTTGGCGAGCGCGGCGGCTGCCACTGGTTCCGCATCATCTGCTGCTGCCACTGCTGCTGGGTCATGAAGGTGGTCATCGTCTCCGCGAGCTTGTCCAGCTTCGTCGAGGTCTCGGAAGCGGCCGCCATCGCCGTCGCCAGGCTCGAGGCCGAGCCCGCCACCTTCTTGTCTTCGAGGAAGTCGTCTTCTTCAATGGGACGGGACATTTCCTTGGCCAGCAGCCACTCACAAGCCTCGGGAATGGCTCGTGCCGGTCCCGAGCCGAGCGTGGCGAGCATACGCTTGCTGCGTAGCCAGCGTCGGAACAACTGGTACCTCATCTGCGGGTTCGGATAGTCCAGCGAGTCGCAGAGGTCGGAGACGCGATCGCCCCACTCCTCCACGGACTCACCGCGATCACGCTTCGTAGTCTGTAGCCGTTCCCAAAGCTCATCAGCCGTTCTGCTCAGGAATTGGTTGTGGAACCGTACTTTTAGCGTAGCGAAAATCTTAATGTTCCTCCACCGCTCCGCAGGCCTCCCTTTGAGCTTCTGGCGAAACACCAGCAACCGTGACTGATCAGGCAGGTGGGCCGTGTGAGCTTCGAACAGCTCCCAGAAGTCACGAGCCTTCTCCATCGTCGCCGTGTCCGAGTAGAACACCGGTAACACCTTCATCACGTTGGACACCATTGACGACATGTCGTACGCGCTGCGAGCCGGGGACCACATAGTCGATGCGCGGTTTGGTCCACCGAGGTTCGTAGGGGTCGACAGTTTTGGCAGCAGGCGCCGCGCCTGGGGTCGGAGTCTTGGCACGAGTTACCGTCTTGCTCGGCTCCACCTTGACTAGCTGCTTGACTTTCGGCTCAGTCTTTACGACCGTGCCCCACCCACCGTAGGCGCCAGGCTGCGCCCCAACACGCCAACCGTACATGGGCGGGTTCGGCAACCGCCTCTCCGTCCCGGTGTACACCGGAATGAACCCGCTCGGGCTACGAGAGGGCACTTCCTCAGGTTCTTCCTTCACGTAGGACCTGTAGAACGGCCGCGAATGCGCCGTCTCGATCGGCACAGGGCCGTCGTAGCCGAAACCACTCGACCAGTAGTGCACGGGCCTCGAGAACGCGCCCCTCGACTCTTCGGCGTCAGCGCCCCGTAGCTCCCCGGGGCCGGGCACCGCCTCCTTCTCCTCGAGCTCTAGCTCCGCGGGAGCACCGTCTCCTTCACGCTCCTCATCAGCGTCCTTGAACTCATCTTCTTCTTCATCAGTCCAGAGATCTCCCATCATCTCTTGGCGCAGGGACTTACGACCGGTCGCGCTCGTCACCTTGGCCGTCGTGCTCGTCCCGCTCCCGTCACCGGGCGACGTCGGCGTCGCTGACGTCCCACCAGTCTCCCTCGCCTTGCGAAGCCGTTCAGCCTCCAGGCGCGCCATTTCTTCTTGCACGGTCCGCTGCTCCGAGGACCCCTCACCTTCTCCAGCTCCAGACATCTTCTCCAAACTGTAAACCCCAAACTTCAAACTTCAGGGGCTCCGAGCGAGTCGTAGACCAACTTCAGGGGCACCGAGCGTGCCGTAGACCAATTTCAGAGGCACCGAGCGTGCCCTAGACCAATTCCAGAGGCACCGAGCGTGCCGTTCTTCACTTCACTTCCAGACAAGACCGTTCCACAAGTCTTGCGCCGATACCGAGACTTCTTGAAGACCCCAGGGACGAGCTCTCGATCGCGATTCCAACGCGCTGCTGTCACCTCGCAAAGGCCAACGAATCCCGACGCTCGACTCGACCAGACTATCCGATGCCCACTTCACAGCGAAGCCAGTACCCTGCTTCTCCACCACGTGTCACGAGTCGCCCTGGAAGGGACGGCTGCCGCTGCGAGAACGAAGTAGGACGGTACGGACAGGGAAGGAACGGTATGAAATACAACAGAGTCAAATACAAAGATTCAACTTGTTGTTTCCACGGCAAATTCACGACTGACCAACCTACCCGGCACGGAGCACCTCGCCCCGCGCTCTCTCTTGCTTCTCTTCAACTTGAGTGTCGACACACCGCCGCCCCCGAACCCATGGTCAGCTCCTTTCACCCCTCCGCCCTTGGCTCACGTCAAGGCTCACGCCCCGAGCTACGCAGCGCTCGTGACCTCCATCCTGTCTCCTCACGTCACCGCCTACTCGCGGAACACGCCACTGCTTCCATCACGACTCTTTGTCCACGCAACGGGCCCGCCGCCAGCTAATCCTCGCTAAAGTCGATGACTGCTCAGTCAGCTCATCCTCGAACAGCTGATCCTCGAGTAGTAGTCCACGCGCTGATTGACAGGCTGCCGGAGGACGGCCGCGACCGTACCCGAGACGGTGACCACCGTTCCCACTCGGGACAGTACCCTCCCGGAGCAATGCTCCGGGTATGCTGCTACGCAGCCGGCACAGGATTAATTTGGTGTCGCATGAAGCCGTGCGTGTAACGCATGCGTTTAAGTATCCATCATATATTGACATATTATGAAA